CTCCACACGCACTGCATACTGTGTCTACCCCTTCGTATTTGGCCCGATATGTCTTGGTTCGCAGTACTCCCGTCCTGGCCTCAAACAGTAGAGAACTACCCCGAGTATTATCATAGATCCTTTCCTTGGCAATTTCCTGCTTAAAAGTTCGATAGATCTCTAGTGCGGACTTCTTAATCATGCCCATTCTCCACATGTCAGTCTCCGTTTCCTTCACTTTCTTCTTAACCGATAGTTCTTTTTGGTTTGGCCACCTGCTGTTTTCTAAGTATTTACCAGTCAACTTCCTGGTTCGCTTCCTCCATTTTGTATCGACATTCTTCATGTACAAGTAGCTGAAAACCTTCCTAGCCCAACGCTCTTCCCCCATTTCTCTCAATCGTTTCTCAAATTTTATCTTGCTGCTAGCTTCCCTGCCCTCAAATGATGTCCATCCCATATCACCTTGTACTCCCTGATTTGGTGTATTCCCGTGAGCTCCTAAAGCAAGCCTACCTATTCCACGTTGCTTAATTTCTAATCTTGCTTGAACTTCTGATCTCAGGCACAAGACCGCATTGCCGAACGTCAGCCCAGGAACCATGACCCCTTTCCATATTCCTCTCACAACATCATACCTATTGTAATTCCACAGTGCCCTATTTTTCATGACTGCTGCATTCCTGTTACCTATAGTCGTCACGTATATTTCGTGTTCCCTCAGATACTCGGTCCCATTGCTTATCCATACGCCCAGATATTTGTATTTATCTGTTATCTCTAGCGTGACCTCCTGTATTCTAAGCTCACTACCTTCGTTGTCATTGAAAATCATGACTGCTGATTTTTCCCTACTGAATTTAAAATCTAACCTATCTCCCTCATTACCGCAGATGTCCATCAATCTCTGCAAATCTTCCTTGTTGTTGGCCATTAGCACTATATCATCTGCGTACATTAATGCTGGTAGTGCCTGATCAATAAGTTTTCCTTGTTTGACTAAAGAGAGGTTGAAGCCCAGTCCACTTCCCTCTAATTTTGCCTCTAATCCTTGTAGGTACATCATGAATAATAAGGGTGACAGGGGGCACCCCTGCCTAAGCCCCCGTTTTACATCTGCAGGCTTGGATACCTGTTTTTCCAACTTTATAACTACCTTGTTACCTTTATAGATACCCTTTAAAAGATTATTGACTACATGTTCCACGCCTAGTGTGTCCAGTATTCCCCACAATTCCTCTTGAACCACGCTATCGTACGCTCCCTTGATATCCAAAAATGCTAGCCACAGGGGCCTGTGTTCCTTTTCTGCTATTTCGATGCACTGCGTCAGTGAGAACAGATTGTCTTCCAACCTCCTGTGTTTCCGAAACCCATTCTGCAGTTCCCCCAGCACCCCCTCATCCTCTATCCACGCCTGCAGTCTTTCCTTTATAATTTGCATCGCCAGCCTGTAGACCACTGATGTCACTGTTATAGGACGGTAGTTGTTTATGTCAGCTTTTCCCCCCTTTCCTTTATAGATCATGCTCATCCTGCTAAGTTTCCATCCATTGGGAACTTCACCATCGATTATTATTTTGCTCACTGCCTCTCTCAAAGCCTGCTTAGACTTCGGACCTCTTTATCAGCCTAATTGGAATGCCATCTGGGCCTGTTGATGTACTACCAGGAACCCTTTTCTCAGCCCTTTCCCACTCTTGTTGTGAAAATGGAGCCATTGCACCACTTGATTCGTCCTTGTCTATTGTGGTGCATAAAGTACTTCTTTGTTGAAATTTTTCTGTCACCCTTGTTCTTATATATTCAATAGCTTCGTCCCCTTCTAGCCTAGCACCTTGGGCTGTAGTTATAAAACTCTGCTCTAGGCTCGTCTCATTTCTTAGGGAGTTTAGATGGTTCCAAAATTTCGCAGCTGCCTTTCTATCTTTTTTATGTACTTCTGCCAGCCACTGAGCTCCCTTCCTTCTAATCTTTTCATTGATCAGAAGGGATGCATCCCTTCTACAGCTTAGAAAGGTTGCCCATTTTCTTTCAACATCATCTGTCGGTTCACCCCGCTGCTTAGCATGTCTGTGTTCCCTAGAGGCTTCCTGACGTTTTGCTATGGCTCTTTTAACTTCCTCATCCCACCAACTTTTGGGTTTGTGTCTTCTTTTCCGGGGTGATTTGTCACGCGTCTTAACAAGCTCTAGCTCAAAGAGTCTAATTAGATTCGTGTATGTCCACACTGTCTTGTTATCCTCCGTGATTACTTTCTCAATTTGTTTAGTGGCTATTTCAATTTGCCTTTCTGGATAAAAATTTTCCTGTAGTTGCTCATCTTGTCTCCTTCCCACTTTCACTGCTCTTCCAAAACTTACATACAGGAGACGGTACCGCCATCTAGTGAACACTGCAAGAACTAAACTAGAGGTGGCTACATACAGGGGACGGTACCGCCATCTAGTGAACACTGCAAGAACTAAACTAGAGGTGGCTACATACAGGCTACAGGGGACGCACAGCCCACGCCCTAAGGAGCTTCGCCCCTAAAAGTCCCTCCACATCTACAGCTCCGAGATACTGGTGACTGACGAGTCGCGCGTTGACGAGTCTTCGGAGCACCCAGGAGGGAAAGGGCGTGGCGGGCATGTGAGCGTATCTGCATACTCGAAATTTTTCTCCATATATTCAAGCGCGCACATCTTATATACACTACATAACGTTAGCAGTGTACCGGTGCTGTTGCAGCAGTACCACCTGGCAAACATTTCCTTACGGTATCCAAGAGCGTCTTTCACTCAATGTAATATTCGAAACTTCTATTACGAGTTTCTTGAAATTACTCGTAGCATACCGACGGAGCAACAACTACAGCATCTTAAGCAACCTGGGTCGCTTCAGGATTTTAAGCCCTACAAAACAACAAACCCAAACAGCGTACATGTCATTATATTGATATGCAGGGTGTTTCAAGAAATGTGTTTAATATTGTTAAAAAATTACTGAAAGGAGACCTCTACGTAGTATACCTGCACATAAAGTGTAGGAACCATAAGTATGGCAGTAATTGTAGAAATTAAACAATTCAACTGTTTATCAGTGGTAATAGCTGGTCGAGTCAAATAAGCGTATCGAAGTTTTGCTACTTCAAAATTTTGGAAAGCCGGCCACTGGTGGTCACCGCAGAGCAATGAAATTTGGCTAATTTAGCTGGCGAAACCAATACCGACGCACCAAACAACGCATCTCACGTTCCCTTCTACTACGTCCTCAATGGAAAATTCATTGTTTTAACTTATTTACTTACTGTCGTAATAAATTTTGTACACATTTGAAGATACCATCTGCCGAAGGTATGTTCAAATCCATCAGATATCATCTGCCGATACCATCTCAAGATACCACCTTGAAACACCCTGTATATGAGACCCGGGCATAATACGGGTCAGGCTCAGGCCCGACCCGAGCTTGGCAGGGCCCGATCCAACAAGGCCCTACCAGGCCCTGCGCCCGTGGCCCGGGCCTGTGCACTCCTCTCGATCCCATTTCTTGTTCATTGTTTACACATTCGCGCAGAGGCCGTATTTTTATATGAGTGCAAGTGTACGGGACGATAGCCGATGTCTAAAAAATTCACTGACGATCATTCAGATGTGTTCATGGCGTTGTTGCGGCCCTGAAAAACAATGAATAAAAACATGCGCCAGCTTTCTTTTGTAGCAGGCTAGTTTTTCATATTATCTAGTGATAAACAACTGAAAGTGGCCGACGGCCAATGGTTGGTAAACAAGTAGGCAGGGCTCGGCAATCGTTGTTTACGGCCAGCCAATGGTCCTACAAAGTGGGGCCCTGAGTGGCAGCTAGTATCGCTGGTTATTAATTGCCCGCAGACGATGAGCCAACGGTCGGCAAGCGATAGGGAGATTGTCTGCACCCAATGCTCGGGCGACTAAGCGTGGTCCGTTGTTGGGCCACACTTTGCTACCTACCACGTTGGTAGTTACTATAGGCTAGTTATAAGCCGACATTGCATGGTATCTGTGAGCGCATTTTTTTTTTTTTTTTTCGTGAGCCGCATTTCTCGGTCAGCGAAAATTTCTTGTTTGGGTGTTCAGCGTTGGCTACCACTAGAATTCACACGATTATTTAACCCACCTGTGCACCACTTGGCTAGAGTGGCTAGACTTCTAGCCACCCTAACTTGGCTTCTACAAGGTGGGCCTACGATCTGGGTCTTGTGTCAATTGGCAGCCAGAGGTCGGCCCGTGTGAAGCCATTAACCAAAATCACCCTCAGCCCAACCTTGTTGACCGAGCTTGGGCCATGGCCATGCATGTTGGGCCAGCATTGAGCCGATCTGGTTTTTTTCAGGGGGGTATGGAGATCGGATGATACGAATATTTTTGGTCATCCCGCGAGGTTCCTCTGTACTTTGAGGTCATTGAGCTAATCGCGGTTATCACTGCGAGCTTATTACTTCCACAATTTTCTTCTAAGTAAAGTATATTAGTGACAGAGGCACTTAAAAATATTTATACTATTCCGTTTTCTTAATAAGCTACATGCGTTTTTCATCTATTCAAGCTTTCGTTTTCCCATGAAATAAATACAAGACAATCAACAGATGAGAAATTGTGAATCAAAAATAAATAGAAGCGCCTAAAGTTAAATGCCGCGCACGACACAAAAACACGTACCACGATTTCTACTACGAGGCACCAAGGCTTTTTCGAATAAGACGAACTTGTAGATTGCGACACTCGATTCAAATTTTCCGGTGCAGATAGATCAGAATACGGCCAAGCCTGCGAAGTGCTCAATTAGCTACGAAGCCGACATAGCGTATTTGGTGGGTCTGGTGTAGTTCTAATTAGTTCTGTCTAGCCTAACAAATACAATATTGCGTACTACAGCTCCTAATTATTGGTTTTTATAAGCTACAACGTGGACAACTAAAATTTTGTCACGTCATTATCGGCTGCGTTGACCAAACCGTGCCATATACATGGTTTGTGGCGCTGCCGGCGCTTGTAACTGTCGCAGTTTTGGCGGTTTTGCTTGCGAGCGGTGAGTTGCGGCCAGCAGCAGGCGTGCGTCCCATGAGCTGATTCAGTTGGCATCGTTCTCTGAGCAGCGATGGGCTACCTCAAGTACATTGAAGTGGAGAACTTCAAATCGTACCGGGGACTCCAGCTCATCGGACCCCTGAAGCCATTCACGGCAATCATCGGGCCCAATGGATCCGGTAAGGCCTAGTGACGACGCCGTCGCGCGCCGGCGATCGCACGCAGCGCGCGGGCGCTTTCGTTAAATCGGCGCCCACGCGCTACGTTAAGTTCACGCATATCAGATCGGTGTCCGCGACAGTTGCTCGCCGTGATCGTCGTTGCTGCCACCAAACTCCTTGAGCGATGCTGTGGTAACGTTTTCTCGTCCCCAAGCAATCTGACGGAAGCTGACAGCGCGTAATTCGATTTCGTAGAGGAATGCAGTTGTGACAGCTGATTCCTAATATTCACAAAGTATGCATATTTAAATTTAATTTAAGACTCAAACTGATTAGTTGTTCCCAGTGGTTGCCATGGGACAAATGATGTTACTGGAATTGAGCTGAGTCGCACGGGATCGCGATTGGCCTGGATGGCGATCAGATTTGCTCGTGAGTAAGCGCAGTCGATTAATGAAATAATAGGGATAAAGGATCCCGGTGTTACTTTCGTGTTGGCTGGCAGCGATCTGATCTTAGTGGCAAAGTTGCTGCACTAGTTGCTGTCACTTTTGCTGCCACTAGTGTGATACAGCGCAGTCATGTGTGAATAAGCTTGGTTGTTCATTTTAAAACGATGCCGCGCGATCTTTGGGTCATCTAGATGTTATAGCTTTTTTGAGATATTGAGACGTACCTGTGTCCTTATTTTTGTCCATGCTCAGGGAGAAAAACGAACCAGAAGCTCAAGTCATTGCTCTGTGATTAAATGTTAATGGAGGCAACTAACTGCGCCAGCTTGATCGGAAGAATTTTCGTGACCTCGACTCTCCGCGCATCATACGTACTAACGAAAGAACCGGCAGTGCCGACGCTGAAGTGTGATTGAGGCGCCCTACGAGGTGTCCCTGTTGGTTGTTGATTCATAGTATCCGGCCAGTAGTGATCACGCGTGGTAACGCTATTTGAAAAGCCTTTGGTGTGCATTTCTTTTGTGATTTTAAGGAAAGCCCTAGCCAGGTAGGATCAGGTTGAACATGCAGGTAGCATCATAATTATGGGACATTTAAGATGCCCTAGCCAAAGCTAGTGGAACTGCGTGCATATGCATACAGGATATGAAAGGTTTCCTTACGGTGGCTTTGCAGTGGTTGATAAAACTTACAACTGCATTTGAATCCCATAAATTTTTTAAATTCAAACATAGCATTTCTGCCTTTATCACTCTATCATTGTCTCATTGACTATATCATTGTCTCATTAACTATATCATTGTCATGTGACAAGAGTGGTTCATTGTTTGCAGTAAGTGTATTGTTACAGGATGGGCTGAGTGTGTATGTTTGATCAATATGGATTTGTATTGAAGTAAAGCAAAGTCCCCGCATTTAGCGCAGGTTTGGATCGTTTCAACTTCATAGTTTTCGTATTTGTGCCTTCTGTAAGGAGCTATTTTAACCATAACTGGCATGGAAACCCAATGTGCTTTGTATGGCTTTACATGCAAGTTTACTATCTCTTCATGTTCATTTCCTCTTTAATGGAGCTGTTTTCTGTCCCTGTATTAACTGCAGGTTATAATTGCTCCTATGACAGCGTAGACGAAAATATATTTACTGTGTGGCTCTGTGTTGCACAATGCTTTATATTGTTCTTTTTTTTTTCCTAAATACTTTCACATGGCTAGGATTGTAAAAAATGAAGCTGCCAAACCAGTAAAAATTGAACATTTTATTGGAACAACATGTGACCAGCTAACAAAACACCTATAATAGAGCTGGACACAGTCGCTGCTTATCAAAACAGCACCAACGGATTTAAAGAATCCCTGCAACACTTTTTGAGCATGGTCAGAAAATGCTGCCGATCGGTAGTAGAGGGTCTCGACAACACGCGAGCCAACTAATATAGCACAGCATGTGGCCTGGAATTCACAATAAATTATCAAAGTCAGCTAAAACTTGCTTTCTCTTCTCTTGACAAATGACGGAAGATGCACAAAAATCACACGTAGCAAACCCATCTATCAGCCATTGGCTGATTTGAACATGGCGCTCTCGGTCCTTACAGAGATCGCCGCGGCAGGCTACGACTTGTCCCCATGTGTGCGCGATCACACTGAAAAAGCCATGCATTCAAGGAAAAAAAGAAAAAAGTGCTCAAGGTCACGAGGCCCACGTGACATATTTCTTTGCCCCTTTCATTTCTCCCTGCTTAGCTTTCAGCGCTTTCGTCGGGACGAAAGAAGGGAGAATGCGTTGGCAGCGTACGACAAATCTTTGTAACTGCGTTCGTACTAGATGAATTCTTAAAATTTTTGCGGCGTTGAATTCGTGAGGCAATAAGCTCTTCCAGTGAATTCATTCCATAGTTACTTGAAAAAGTGTTTCAGGGCCCCTTTAATGCATTGGCTGTTTTGACGTGTGCCACGGCACATTCCACCTCTGTCACTGTCATGGACAAGCATTGCATTATGTATAGTGAAATCTTTGTTGACACATTTTTTTGTGGTGACTGGAAAATGAAATGTATTAAGAGAAAATCATACTAACCACAGATTGGCTGGAAGCAAAAAGAAAAAATGTATTGTGCAAAATTGTATCAATGACATTCCACTGTATTTCGCTATCACTGATGTCCATGCAATTTCATTAGAACTTGTGAGAAAGCTCAAGAAATGTGATACATAAGCGAAGGCATGGCTGAGACGGGCTTTTAAATGTCTCGCACTTGCATGCAGTGAAATACCTGTGCACTATAACAATACAGAGTATAGATCGCTGTGTTGTGTTCTAGCTAACCTGGCACAGAAAGTAGTCTATCTTACTTTTAACAATTCTTTTTCTGTTTGTGGGAAAAAAGATGTTTGGTCTCGAGCTAACCTTACGTTGTGTTCGTCTTGCAGGCAAATCGAATTTCATGGATGCCATCAGCTTCGTGCTGGGCGAAAAGAAGAACTGCCTTCGTGTCAAGAAACTCAGTGTGAGTGCAAACCTGCCTTGACACAGTACGCTTGCTTCGGACACTGTCACACCTGAGACCAAATATTTTTTCATTATTACCTTTTTAAAAGAAAGGCCATCATAGAGCACTAAATAAATTTAGGCAAATAAATAATTTTTTTCTTGAGAAGTCTATCACTGTTATTGTACAAGTTCATTATTGGGAGAGAAAAAAAATTAAAGTTCAAAGTTTCGTATTAAATTTTTATACTGAAACCTTGGCATCAGAGCTTTATTGTGACATAGTCAGTTTCAGCCTATTTTTTCATATTTCAGCCATATGGAATTGAGAATATTGCCACACTCCTTTTTTTTTTTTTAAGTTTCGTTATGGCCCCATTGCATGTGGAAAGTGCTGCCTTGCCCAACTGCGCCGATTGACGGAGATAACTCAAGTAATCGTAAAACCTTTTATTGCGATTACGCGTACAACGCGAACATTGCAGATTCTTCTGGAACTTAGGTGGCCGCTAGTAATAATGCTGTAATATTTGATGATACATGTATGAATGCGGACGCGTGTCAATGCTTGTCAGATTATCGACTGGCAACGCTCTGTTCGCCACAAACAGTGCAAGTGTGTATTGCTATAGTCTGAGCTTCAGTTTCCTTGCCACAACTTTGGCCAAATGAAGAGTTTTTTTCTTTGAAACAGTGACTGTTGCCTTCGTCAAAGTCACGACCAAGGGACAATATTTCTCAATACTTACTTTAGTAAAGGTCTGTGGCTCTCGTAGAATGCAACATTTCATAAAACATAAAATCCTAGGCAAGCTCCCCCTCTTGTACGCTGATAATTCAACAAATTTTGGAGAGGGGTCCTTGTTTGGTCTGGATTAAAATTTAATGTGGTGGTTGAAGAGCCTATAAGAAGAAAACATGCACACCCATACAGGGGCGTAGCCATGGGGTGGCACACCGGGTTGGTGAGGGAACCTCATGGTGTTGACACCTGCTGTACACTCAAACGTCATAATAACAAAGTTGCATCTTATAATAAAATAAGCTCGTTATATCCTAAAATTTGTTATGAAGATATATTTGTAACCATTATTTCATTAAATCTGGGTTTATTATATTGAGGTGTGAGTGTATTTTCTTCTCAATGATTTTCTACCTTCCCAAGTGTGTTTTCAGAGTGGAAAAAATTATGCTTTTCACAGCGTCGATAGGTAACTGATTTACTAATAAGAGAAAAATTGCTTTTTCTTTTAGTGTTCAAGCTAGTTTGCTGAAGGTGATCTGTCACTTTTTGCTCCTTACTTGTTCAACGCATATTCATTCCTTCACGGACAAAAGAAAAAAAATGAAAGAATTAGGACAAAAGGTTGATTTTTGACAAGGCTTCCTAAGCCTGCTCCTCAGCCAAGTTTGTAATAATAGCAGGCGAATCAGTGAGCGAGAGGAAAAGCATGGAGACAAAAATCATTGATCCACTAATTGTGCCAAGAAAATGGCAGGACTGTGTGCATTAATGTGTACTGCAGAAATAATATGTACACATGTTAAAAAGGAACATGAGCCAAGGTCTCGTCTGTTTTCACCCAACAGTATATTGTTTAGTGAAAACTGCCTCTGTTAAATAAATCACATAGCTCCATTGTGTAATGACTGCTGCAAGATTTGTTGCATCATTTTAAACTGATCACTGTTCACATATGAGGAGAAGTACATTATACTTCACACTACGTAAAAGAAAAAAATTAAGAAACATATATAAGACTATGGCATCGCTTCTGTGTGCTGTCATGAAAACTCTCAAGGAAATATTCAATCTGAAGAAAAGTTGAATGAACAAAGGAAGTTCTGGTCAAAGTGAACACTGGGCTAGTTGATATATAATGTGTTATGAAAAATGGCACAAGCTGTGCGTAACAAGAGAAAACAGAATGAGTGAGATGAGCGTTGGATGGTCCAGTCCTCCTTCCTTCCCGATCTAATGTAGCTTTAACTGCTTTTGTATAAGATTGCGCAGATGTGGGGATAAGTTTTAGTGTGCACTAATTTTGCCTAAAGAAAACTTCTCTGACGCTTTCCATCTTAACCTAGAAACAATGGGCTATGTAAATAAGGATATAATGACTCTTTGTACTGACTGTAAGCAATGTGTCTGTGTTGTTAAAAAAATCAATAAATGAAAATCTTTTGGTTAAATTTGTAAGTGGATGAAACTTCTCTATATTAATGACATGGCAAAATGGTCTTGTAATAGCGAAAATAATTTGAACAAGACCAATTAAAATTAAGGGCATTTTGGACGTGGGGAGAAATCTCATCATGTGATTCCTCCGTCTTCCCTTCGATGACTCCAGTCACATTCCTTGTTAGATGATTTCGCGTGAGGTGACTGTTGTATATATTGCGAGAAACATGTCCTGGTGTTCTGTAATCGGATATAGTCCTTAATTTGTTATTGTCTGGAGGAACGCCGTCACCACAAGATGTCGGTCGAAATGATAAAGTACAGATGGCAGTCATTTTTCTTAGTTATGTATCGCTTCAGATGTCTGCTGTGCATGGTGCATGAGTATTACTAATGTGTTGTTCTGCCGCAGGACTTAATTCATGGAGCACCAATCGGGCAGCCAGTGTCAAACAGAGCCCACGTGACGGCCGTGTACTGCAACGAAGATGGCACCGAGACCCATTTCACACGCCTGGTGGCACACTCATCATCGGAGTTCCGCATTGACGATGAGGTGCGTGGAATGCATGGGGACACCATCGAAATAGCACACTGTATCATAAAATTTCGAGCAATTGCCCCCTCTCTCAACGAAGTTGAAATTGCCAAAAAATGAGGGGGGGGGGCACGAAAATTCAAGGTGGCAGGTAAATTTTCGCGTCAGAAAAAAAATGCACTGCGACCATAAAATTTTATTACATTCAACTTTATTTAGGCCCATGATTTGTTGTAGCTTTTAATCCCTTTCAAAGCCACCGAAGGACTCTTTTAAGTCGGTTGCAAAAAACAGGTTGCAGTATTACATTGAAGTCCACCGTCGTCTTCCGGCACCACAGCTCCTACATCAGCCAGTCCGCTGTGCAGGTCGCCGTCCTTCGAGCCATCGAGCGCGTTACTAATGCCGCATTCCTTGAAGTAGCGTCCCACTTTCTCTTCGGGTACAGCAGCCCACGCCTCGACAACAAACTCTAGCATACGTTGTTGCAACAGCTTCTTCAAGTTTCCTTTCGGTATTCGTGCTTCCTCATGCATATACTGCTCCCGCAAACGCCGTAAGATGGGCTTAAACAGGTTATTCGAATACACGGCGTCAAACTGCAGAATGCTTGTGCACCTCGCAGGCACGTGAAGCACGTCGGTGTCGTGCACATCGTAGGCATTTGCGGCGGCTTGTGTCTTGTGGATGGGCACCTGGTCCAACACTAGTGAGTGTCACACGTCCTCGCCGTTCGGGCCCCAGACTCTTGACAGCCACTCTTGCATTTTCTTTGATGTCATCTAGCCCTTTTTTGTGGTGGTGAGACGAACAGTTGCTACGAATGGGAAAAAAAGTCAGCGTTGTGATAAAACGAACTTGGCCAAGACAATGTGACCCCTCGCCTTGATAAAAAAATCAAATTATTCTCACCTGGTATGCGAAGGCTCGTAAAATGGCCTTGGCTGGAACTTTTCCACTTTGCTCCTTGAAAATAACGAAGTCCAGGAGCTTGTGGCCAATGGCGCAAGCAGCTAGGCAAACCGTCAAGCCTTGGCAAACACATCCAGCGTTCGCAATCTATATGGTGCTTTCGCCGACCACGTTGTTCGTCCTGTGTGCAGGGCTGCCTATCATCGTCTGATTCATATTGGCCACATTATATAAGGTTCAGCCGTTGCGGTGTCGCAGCGAGTTCGTGAAAGACCGAAAGGCACTTTCTTTCTCCGAAAGTTCCTTGGGCGTCTTCTGGCTCTCCATTGTAGCATGGGGCATTGCGACGCCAAACCGCTGTTTCCAGTGATTGATGTAATGGGCAGAGGCTACGAAGTTTCCCAACTGCATGCTGTTGGCAATTTTGACGGCTTCTTTACAAAGAATCCTGCTGCTGACGGCACGTCCTCCACTTTTTTCGCGCTCAAGGTACTCGAAGAGTGCATCGTTCACGTGTTCACTGAACACTGGTGCGCCGTTACTGAGCTTCCATCAAAATCGAAGCTCTGCCTTCCTGTAGTTCAGCTGCAGCAAATTATTGAAATTCTTCTCCCATTCTTGTATCCGCTTCCTGTCGAGTTTGAAATGCCAGGGCGTGCACGTTCTTTCCGTCTTGTTGATGCGCTCGAATAACCTCGATTTTCTTTGCCACTGTGTAAGACTGCATAGGCATAGCTGGCCTCTCACTGCATACACAAAGCAACAGATGGTGTGTAGCATGCGCAGCGTAATAGGGCTGCAGTGCAAAACAGGATTGGATTGGTTGGGGTGGGGGGGGCACTTTCCCAGAACGGCACAGATATTTGAAATTGCCCGTGAATTGGGGGGGAGGGGGGGGGTCTTGTACGGGTAAGGGTGCCTGCTCGGAATTTTACGGTACGGTATGCTGAATACAGGCGTGGAAAATCAAAAACAAATATTTCATGTGTTTGAAAGTGAAGAGACAGTGATTGCAAATAGCAGCTCAGCCGAAGTGGGAAGAAGTCTTAACCCATTGACTTCTACTGGCCAGGTTGGGGAAGCCAAAAGCCCTTCCTTTGACTGGCATATCGCCTGCTGCCTAGAAAATTTTTATTTTTGCCATTGTTTCACAAATGGCAGCGCAGTATTTTGCGTTTGCCTTTTGCTTGATTTATTATCCACTAGATGGACATAGTTGTCCATGCTTTTTAGCTGTTGGAAAGTGTTTTTCTTTAGCAGTGAAGGGTGCACAATCCCGGCTTTTTTGAGACATGGCGTGGCGGAAGAAACATGGAAGAAACCTGCCTGTCGCGGCATCACCAATGTGCCTATAAGCCACCAAAGGAGCTCATTTTTTTCCCTCATCATGGCAAACAAAGTCAAGCAGAATTCATGAAGACTTTGCTTAGTTTGTAATGCACTGAGGGAAAAGTACGAGAGCCGATGGGAGTGTGAAAAATAAATATCAAGTTACTCTTCAGGTGCCCGTATGGCTTAAACTTTTTCACACACGAAAATTGTACCGAAGCACCTGATGCAGGCAAGCATGGTTAAGCGAATAAAGCAAAATTTGTTATTCTATGACATTTGTTGCAGTTTTTATTGCAGTTTAGGTGCACCGACTCATGCTGCCGGCAGGAGCGAGAATTTTCCGGTGGAATACTAGGCGAGAACGGCCTCAAATTGTGCAAAAGCCAATGGGTTAATTTGGTGGGGTGTCATATTGTGTACACCCATACCTTGATATAGCGAATGTGTATGTAATAAAATATACAGTTATAAAGAAGTAAATGAAGAATATTCTTGCAATAGATACAGTGCTAGAAATTTACCTCTATAACAAATTTTCATATATAACACATTTATTTTTGTGTAATATGCAGCTTCTTTATATTGAGGTTTGATGTGTAGTGTAAATGTGCCGTTGAACAGACTCATTGTAGAGTCGATTATCATTAATTCGAACAAACCTAATTCGAACTTCCGGTTAATTCGAACTCGCGATGAGGTCCCGTTTAAAGCTATGTATTCCAATAGACGAAAATGCCCGGTAATTTCGAACGTGCAAGCACTTGCGACGGTTAATTCGAACATACCGCACTCCGAAAATGCTCTCAGCACCCCGCCTGATCCCACGGCGGCACCTGCAACACCTCAACGCTGCGCGCGAAGAAAATGAAAAGGAAAGAAAAGGCTGGGGTGGAATGTTTGCTCTTTCTCAAATGCTAATCTGCGACGCGCCCGTGTCACGCTTCGCCCTTTTCCATCCCTACCACATAAAGACCCTTCTCCTTCCAACACCCCCTGCGAACAGAGAGAGGAAAAAAAAAAAAGAAAGCTGTCACTGGGTTGAAGGGTTGAATGAATGTGTGGTTGAAAGAAAGGAAAAAAGCACTATCTTCTGCAGCCCTTGCCCCTTGCGGGAGCACAGCTCTGCACAGCTCTGCGCCTTGAGGGGGGGGGGGTCCACTTACGCGCCGCGCCCGTGCCACGCTTCTCCTTTTTCCATCCCTGCCACATAGTAACCCTTCTCCTTTCAACGACGCCCATGAAGAGAGCAAAAAAAAAAAAGCTGCCGTGGAGTGCTGGTTTGCTCTCAATTGCCGATCCGCTTCTCTCTGCATGAAGACGCTCTTTTCTCGTCACGTGCTGGCCATGCTGCGGCTGCGTAGCAGAGAGGCTCCGCTGCACGGCCGTTGTTTCATGGTCTTTAGAAAGTGTCAGCGCTGGACATTTTCGTGCGCAGCTTCTCTTGCCAGGACAATGCTGAAGCCGATGTAGAAATGCTTTGCAAGCTGCGTGCAGAATTGATTGACTCGCTGCAACGCAAACGTGTGCAGACGCGCATCACCGATTACTTCAATAATTAGCGAATTTCCTGTGATTTGTGAATAAATGTAAGTCTTCTGAAACTTTCCCCTTGTGTGTTAGCTCAATGCTCATGCGCCACTGCATGGAGAACCCTCCGTTTATTTAGCGTTCATTAATTTGAACATCTTTCAATTCGAACAAATTTTCGGGCCCCTTCGAGTTCGAATTATCGTGATTCAACTGTAGTACAGGCCAATTGACCTGTGTTGACGAACATCATCGATTGCTTTGGAGCATCAGAAGAGTTGGCGTGCATGGTCTTGCTTTCAGGGCCGTATGTAGTGAGAAACGAGCAGCGAATGAACATGCCGTCAACTTGAAGAACATGCATCTGCTTGAGCGAACCTTCGACGAATGCTTTTAATGCTGACGAAATTGTGCTTTTTCAGGTGGTGAGCCAAGACGAGTACCTGAACCGGCTCGAAGGGCTTCGCATTAATGTCAAGGCCAAGAATTTCCTGGTGTTCCAGGGCGACGTCGAAACTATCGCCATGAAGAACCCGAAGGAGCGCACAGTGCTGTTTGAGGAGATCTCGCACTCGCTCGAGCACAAGGCCGAGTATGAGCAGCTTCGCAGCGAGATGATCAAAGCCGAAGAGGACACCCAGTTCTCGTACCAGAAGAAGAAGGGCATAGCTGCGGAGAAGAAAGAGGCGCGTCTCGAGAAGGAGGAGGCCGACAAGTATCAGCGCCTCAAGGAGACCCTGGCCGAGCGACAGGTGGTTTCGCAGGTAAGCGCAGCGCCAAGCCGTAAAATTATTTGTTGGCTTGATTCAATCAAAGGTGATTTTAACCCTTTCGCTACAGTAAGGAAGGAAGAAAAACGTGGCGAAGTGATGGAAAAATACTTATTTGCTCAATTTGTAGTGATTTCTTTCTGAATAACATGGCACCGTTTCTTCAATTTAGTGGGAATCTTTTATTTCTCTAATTGCATAAAATTATTTTATTTCGCTAGTTGCAGTAAAAGAATAAATAACTGAAAGGTGGCTTCACCGCAGGGCAAAACGAAGAATCGCAACAAAATAAAAGTGGAGGCACAAATGTTCCAACATAGACAGGTGTGGCCATCTAGCAGTCGAGAAACACAAGTGTGACGAGTATAGACGTCATTTGTTCCATGCAGCACTAATTTTCCTAATGACAATCATAGTCGCCGGTCATTTTGGTGCAGAATTTTCATGACTGTACTTATCAAAGGTAGTGCAAGGGTCAAGTGAAATCTGTTTCTGCACATTTCCCATTTATTTAGCCACTGCTAGCAGCCCCTTTTTGGGAATACAAATATGTCGGCTATTCTACCTTGCAGCTTTATCAAAGGTGGAACATCAGTGTGACAGAATTTTCAGACAATGAAGTAAAAGCCTGTTTTACCAAATTCACTTTTTTTATTTATGTACGAAACACTTGACAGGCTGTACAGAGGCATTGGATAAGGGAGTCTGATAAAAATAGGATCAATGCAGGTTGATATTGTAGGAAGACGTGCGGCGTTTGGTTTTCCACATTTTTTTTTTTTTTATCCCTGCTCTGACATGGACGTCCACAGACGCTGTCGTTCTTGCTGGCCCCTTCTCCCACTTGGCTCGAACACGCGTGGCAGCTGTGGCACAACTTCTTCATGTTCTCCGAGACGCTGACGGCTTGCCATAGGGCCCCCCTCAAGCGAGGTAGCCAGTGCGTGAAGGAGGGACCCCTATCAGCAGGTTGTAGGTTTTACTGTTGTAAAGCGCGTTCGTCTGGTTTTTGTGAATGGCTTGTAGTCTTCGAGGACGGCGTCAGTGTCGAGGAAACCGGCTTTATGTGGACAATGGAGACACTGTCTTCACGTCATTAAGCAGCAGAACGAAATGCTTCGAGCAGCGCTTGACGACCTTAATGGTCCGTCGTTAGGAGGTTGCAGTGGTGGTCTGATTGCGTCATGTCGTACGAAGACGTGGGTGCAGTCGTGGAGCGCACGACTGGCGAAACTTGGGCGTGAGTGTTGACGTGCAGAAATAGGAGACACATCTCTCATGAGATTCCTGAGGCGACTGACATACAGCTGCGTCTAATGGTGATACCGAAGACGTGTCGACAAACTGTCCAGGAAGCATTAGGGTAGTGCCAAATACGAGCTCAGCCGAGGAGCAGGACGCGTCTGTATGTATCGTGCTGTGCAGGGCGAGGAGGACGAGTGGTAGTCGCTTCCGTCCAGGGTATCGATCATTGGGAGGCCATGAGCGAAGCTTTGAGTTGGCAGTGAAATTACTCAACCATGCCATTCGACATCGGGTGGTAGGCCTGTCGTCTTGATGTGGTTAACACCAAGCATTCGGGACAATGTGTGGTAAGAGCGCGGAGTCAAATTGGTCAAATTGACGACCTCGATCCGTTGTGATGGCCTTGGGAACTCCGTAGCGGCTTATCCACACGGTGATGAGTCTGCGGGCGACTGACTGCCGTGATGTCGGTGAGGGGTAGTGCCTCAGGCCACCGCGTGAACCGGTCTACGCAGGTTAACATATACCGGCCGTGTTGCGATGGGGGCAAAGGGCCTACGAGGTCCAGGTGCACATGACTGAACTGTAAGTCGGGAAGCGTAAATGTACCCAGTAGGCTGACCATGTTGCGCTGGACTTTGGTTAGCTGGCACTTGAGGCAAGCACGTGTCCAGCAGCGGACGTCGATGTTCATTCAAGGCCATGGATATCGCCCTGTGATGAGGCGCTGAGTCGCTTGTATACCAGGGTGTGACAAGGAATGCAAGGCGTCGAAGACTCTGCGACGAAATGGTGCTGGAACGTAAGAGCGAGGACAACTGGTACAGATGTCGCAAACGAGAGGAATCTCGCAGCCTGGAAGTTGGACATTTTCAAACTTGAGGAAGTTCTCTTGGAGTCGCAACACTTTAAGCTGGCAGTCATCCTGTTGTGCAGTAGCCATGGCTGCAAAATTGACCGATGGGCGCTCATTCATAGTTGCGCTGATTTATATTCGGGAAAGCGCTTTAGCAAGTGGGTTGTCTTTGCCACTGATGTGCCGGATATCACTCGTAAACTCCGATATGTAGGCAAGCTGGCGGATCTCACGTGGGGTGTGGGCAAAGTTGATATTGGTCGATTGACACGTAGGCGGCTTGTGGTCGGTGAGTATATGGAACTGCCAACCTTCTAGAAGGTGTCGAAAGTGCTTAACAGCCAAATAGACCGCGAGCAGTTCGCGACTGAATGTGCTATAACAACGCTCCGACTGTGAAAGCTTCCATGAGAAGAAAGCGACTGGCTGCCAAACTCTGTCGACCAACTGCTGCAACACTGCTCCTATGGCGACGTCCGAGGTGTCCCCTGTGAGTGACCTGATGGCGTCACTCTTTGGGTGCGCGAGGCACATTGCATTAGCCAGAGCTTCCTTGATGGAACTGAAAGCTGTCTCTGCGTGTGGGGATCTGAGGTGCGCCCGCAACCATTTTGCGGGCATTCCGCCGCACGGCCACACCCTTTTGCTTTTTCTGCTCTGGTAACGGCGCGTGGCGATAGATGGCGCCACGTGCGGGCACAGCACGTGTTTCGTGCGCGCCAAGGGAACTCTCTCTCCTCCGTGGTCGAAGCCGGGTAAGCACGTGTTTTCCTTCGTCCGCATAGCCTTTGGGAATCGCCGTACTGTAGCCTGCCTGGGGTGGCCTTTGGTACCTCGGCAGGTGTGTTTACTTGAGTGCTAGCTTCGGTACCGTACGCTAAGCCCACAGCGGTGCCTAGTGCTTGAAGTGGTCGTACCACACCAGGCCGCACTTGCCGTAGGCCTACGCGTACGAGGTTTGCCCTAACACTCGCGACCAGGCCCAGTGGCCATCGTGAGAGTGCGCAGCATAGCCGCGAGGGACCTTTTCCCGACCGGCGTGTCAAAGCTCACCATTGCCTGCTGCGACGTGCTCGCGGTTTCCCCTTATCGTGAATGTCCGTGTGCGGATGCCTTTTTTCTCGGCGTCCCGGGAGCGGACGTTGTACTGTTGTTCGGGATGCCGCCAAAGGCAATAGTGTTGTGTATATCTGTATTGTAACACTGTCTGTTTTGCCGTGCCGCGCTAAACGCCTTATTAGTTGAGCGCGCGCAGAGCGGTGCGCTACACGCGAGTAGGTGACGGAGTCGCGGCCCTGTGGCTCGCTAAGCGTGAACCCGCGGTGGTCATCCGCTACAGTGAGTAGCGAGGTCATCATAATCGCCCATCCAGGGGATGGAAGTGTTGGGCTTCGTTTGACTGGACAGAAGTGCATGAAGTCGTTCCAAGTGGCAGTGCAATGAGGAATAAACCGCCAGTAATAGTTGGCATGTCTGAGGAATTCACGTTTCTTCGTAGTTGTTGGTCATGGAAACTGAAATATAGCTTCAACACGCGCGACCGGTGGAGAGTACCCACGTGAATCCACGTGATGGACAAGAAAGTCGAGTGAGGAAACGCCGAACTCGCTCTTTGGTCCATTGACGACTTGTCCATATTTGCAGGAGTCATGTGAAAACCTGACGCAGGTGAAGTTCGAGATCTTCTGCAGTGGTGCTTAAGACAAGGATGTTGTCGATGTACACGAAGCATAAAGTCAAACCACGGAGTACCTGGTCCACGAACCGCTCAAAGATTTGTGCGGCGTTTCGTAGACAGAAGGGCACATGCATGTATTCAAACATGCCAAAAACTGCAATTATGGCAGTCTTCGGTTCGTTGGAAGGCTTTACTAAGTCGATTTGTATTAATAAGTTGATTTTTCTGAATACAGTGGAACCATGCAGCAATGCCGTGAAGTCCTGGATGTGCGGCGCTATCAGATAGCGGTCTGGTACCCTCACTTCGTTGAGGGCGCGGTAGTCACCGCATGGTCTCCAGTCACCTGAGAGCGCTTGGGAACCTTGTGTAGCGGTGACGACCAGGCACCGGAAAAGGGGTAGGTGTATCCAAGTTCAAACATGCGCTCGAATTCTTCGCGTGCAATCTTGTAGCGGTCAGGAGCGAGATGACGAGCACGTGCAAACACCCGCACTCCTATTGTCACTATGTGATGAGTGACATTGTGGCTTATTGGGTCTTCAAGAGATGAAGCACGAAAGAGGTCGGAAAATTCTTGCAGAAGTGTAGACCACGGCGGGGAGACTTTGGCATGAGCTCGCACGAGACGCAAGGGTGGTAAACTTGATGCCACGCCTTGAACTGTATAGGAAGGTCTCAGAATTTACGAGGTGGCTACATCGTAGGTCTATCACAAGCTTAAAATGCCAAAGAATATCCGCACCAATGATGGGTATAAGCACGTAGGCGATTAAGAAGATCCACCGAAACGTGCATCTCAGGCCGATATCAAGCTTAACAGACCTCTGTCCGTAGGTTCGTATAGTTGAACCATTGACCACGGTGACAGGCGGCGAGGTCTGGTGTCGGCGGCGGTCCTCCAACGTAGAAGGAACAACACGCACTTCGGCACCTGTTATGATGAGGTAGCGGACTTTGGTGACGCGGTCCGTGACGTGGAATAGGCGGCTGTATGTCGGGCCTGAAACATTGGCGGCCGTCAGTACGTGGCCCGTGCGTTTACCGCAAACTGGCATGGCTGTTTGCACTGACGAGCTCGAACTCCATATTAGTGGTGGTACGAGCAGACGCTGTAACGCAGACTTGGCCATCTTTCGCGGCTTTGGCGCCGTCGTTATGACGCGTTGCGGTGGTAGTCTACCTTGAGTGCGCTCAGTTCAGTGGCCAACTGATCCACCTTACGGTTGAGCTCCTTGTTAGCTTGAACAAGGCGGTCCAAGCGGTCGTCGCGGACCGGCACAGAGAGGGTAGATTCACGTGGTAGATATGGACGGGGCACCGATATCCATTATCTTGTCGGCCGTCCGCACTAGTGAGTCGAGGGTTTCTGTAGACGATAAACTCAAAATTATCTGCACCTGCTGTGGGAGTCGCTATAATTAGAGTTCGCGTAGGATAGATGTGTCCAATGCAGCAGAGTGGTCCCTAATCAGGTGTCGCATGTCACGCAGAATCTCCGTAGGCGTTCGGTCACTGAGTTCTTCCGAAGTGAATAGCTGTTGCAGCCTATGCTGGTCCGACTCGGTTGTCTGGCGTACGAGCTCGTCTTTAAGGCTGACGGGGGGGTTGTCAGGAGGTTTGGGAAACCAAGAGCGCAGTATGTCTCTTATGATGGTGGTGACAGCAGGTGGTAAAGTGCCAATAACATAGTCGTACCGCGTTGTTTGCGATGTTACCAGGTGTTGTCGGAAGAGTAGCTCGACGCTCAAAAACCAGAGTTCAGAGTCCGCCTGCCAAAACTCCGGGAGCCTGAGAGTAGCGACGACATGGTCAGGTATCGTAGGATTTGGCGTGGCATAACTGTTGGGTGTGGTGTCCATCGTCAGCCGAAATGAATGGGGCTGAAGGCCGTAACCGTGGTCACGGAAAAAGCTGAGCAGACGAGTGCAGGAGGAGAGCTGCGGAAGAAGAACAGCGGCTCTGGCGTCCAGCCAGCTAGAAACAGAGTTGGCCATGACACTCGGTGCGTTGACGACAGGACGAGTAGGTGTCTGTTGCCGCTCGAGGTCGGGGTCACCAGTTGTAGAAGTTGTGTGGCGTTTGGTTTTCCACACTTTTTTTTATTTATCTCTGCTCTGGCATGGACGTCCACAGACTCTGTCATTCTTGCTGGCTTCTTCTTCTCCCACCTGGCTCGAACACGCGGAGCAGCTGCAGCACAACTCCTTTGTCTCCTCCGAGACGCTGACGGCTTGCCATAATATCAAGAACGAGGGCAAGTAAACAAAAGGCAAGAGCAAGATAGGTTAATATCAAGAACAACAAAAAGTACAGCTAGGTAGGCGTAAGTGCGAAGCTAGTGGTATCTGACATTAGCTTAACAAGACAGTACGATTGAGCAAGTACAAAACACAAGAAGGGTAATGTGCAGTGTATTGGATGTATGGTAAATATGTTTGACGTTTTTGTTCATTCAATCCTGTCTGAAACTCTTGGCCAGTACAGTACTCATGGATTGAAGCAGGACAATTTAAGGCTAAATAACCCGCATTATTTTTTCCCTTTCCATCATTTTTAATTGTCATGCTCGCGTCGTTTCGACTCGACCAACATGATGTCAAGAAAGCAGATTGGTTTCAAGATGACGTGGTTATCATGAGGAATAATCGCATACCAGTCGTTATACAAAAAAATTTAAAAGCGAGTACTGTATCAATGCGTTTATGGGTCCAGTAGCAGCTGTAACGTCAGCAGTGTTAGGGCACAGGGAAGGTGTAGAATGGGCCTTTTTTTTAATGCCCCTGAAAAATACTATCAATATTGCTAGGGAATCCAACCATAATTTATTATCGTATTTATTTACTCACTGAAAATACCGCGCCCACAAAAAGGGGCTGGGGGCTTGCATAAAGTTAATGTTATGCAGTGTAGGCAGCTTGCAGTTAACCCCTTAAGTGCAATTTTTTTTTTTTTGAAACTTTCCGATCAAAAAGTGTTCATTTTTTTATTTCTGGTTTCAAATCTGACTGTACTAAAATTTAGCAGTTAGTGAATGTTGAAAAAAATATTTTCACCACATACTTGGTCAAATCACCAAAATAAAGTTTATTTCTAACAATACATATGAAACCAGCTACCTGCTGCTAATAAAATTTAAAAACCTTTTAGTTAAAGACGGCGCATTTAAAGACGGCACATTTTTCTGCACCTGTGCAGGCTAAGCACCCTTGGGGTGTTTCACTTGAGAAGCTTTGGGGCTCTGTGGAAAATTTCAAGATGCGGAGTGACAGAAAGTGGCTTCACTGGTGGGCACTTGAAATGTTCAGGTCGAACTGTCTTCACTATCGCTAGAGGAGCTACTCAATTCGCCGTCATCGCTGTCTTCACTTCCAGACAGAATATAAATATCTGTACATGAATCATCATCACTTGAAGAAGATCACTGAAATCAAATAGATTTTTTTTTTTTTTTTTTCAGTGTTTACGAGGCAGCTATGCATGGGTCGCCGCTCCCGCTGCTTGAGAAAACCAAATCCTTGAGCGAATGCTGCCATCCAGTGGATGACATGCAGTCTAAACCGTAAATGCACGCTTCTCGACCTGAGCACTAAAGGGGAGTACCTATTCTGCTAGGACAAGTTCTGATCATCCAGAGCACTTAAGGGGTTAATCAAAGTTATTAGAAAGCACTGTTAGTAGTTATACAATTAAAAAACAAGTTTATGAAAGTTGAGTTGTACAATGTAGTCACTATGAATCATTGTGAAATCGTTAAGGGAGGCAAAACATAGAACGGAAAGAAACATTATAAGTTGGATAGGCATTTACCTACAAATAAAGTTCTTTGAAGATTCCTGCATGTGCATGTGCTATCAGAAACTAAGCTAATTTGCAATGAACTGAAATGTTCCTAATAGGCTGTAGTTCTGCCAAATAGCTTGGTTCTTTTTCCATCAGTGTGACTAACGAGACACTAATGCACATGCGATAGTGTGTGCATTTGGCCAGCCTCAAAAATTTCCCTCTCAAGTCTGTCACTGGATTTTGTAACAATTGTATTGGTCAAATAGCAGTGTGCAAGCTGTACTATTGGACATAAAGGCACAGAAAAAAGAACCTGCCAGAATGATTTCACATTTGGCATGCATGTCGCTTGACGTGCACAGGTAGGCGCATACCCTGTGCTACAGTTTATGGAGACGAGTGCTCCCGGAGTCTGTCTTGAGCCTTCGACTAGTTAGGCTGGTCTAACACTTCCTGCAGCTTAGCAAGATCTTGCATATGACCTCAGTGCCACTAAGTCACAAAATTCTTGACAAGTCTATTTTGGTATGCATTCCTTTCCCTTTCAATTTCTCTCGGAGCACGTCCTGAAATACGCAGCTTAGAATGTCTGCAAGGGGCAGGAAAAACTGTCCACTCTACGCTTTCATCCTACTTTCTTCAGATCTTGTGAAAGAGCGTTTATATACGGCATCAACACAACCTTTTTTGCTCTTTGCAAACTTCTGCCGGTAAAACCATTTGGATGTGAACGTCGTCATTTTATTCTGAGGAATGTGAAGGTGTCACATGCGGCCGCTTTGTAATCAAATGAAAGGGTAAATACTTCAGCTTGTTGGCATGGAACATTTATTTCATTCACACAAAACAAACCCTTATGTTGTTAGCCGGCGCTGTGTCCTCTTGTGGTTCTCTCTCGTGTACCCGCGCTGTTTTTTTACGAGGATTTGTATAATTTGTTTTCAGCTTTCTGCACATCCTCAACTCAATTATTCAATCGGCTCTGCTTGTGAAATAGACGTTTCATGCAGTTTGCATTCCTTTCAAAAGTACCATGCAACTTCACTCGCAGGCCTTCCAGCTGTACCACATCCAGCGCGACCTCGACTCGCTTGCTGCAGACATGACCTCCAAGACCAATGAGCTGCAGCGCCACGTTCGGAAGAAGGAGAAGATTGAGGAGGAAGTGCGCGACAAACGGAAGGAACATGGCCGCCTGCAGCGTGATATGGCCAAGATTGAGCAGCAGATCCGCGAGGCTGTGAGTATCGACGACTGTTATTTCAACAGAGCGTCATAAGCATGCTCCGTTGTAAATATTGACATCATTTCTATTGATACTGTGCTTTGCCACAGTTGTTTATTTCTTTGGTGCAAAGTTTGGTAAAGGGGGGGTGGGTGCCACCATTTTTATGGCTCGCGCGTAATTTGCTGCGAGTGTTTGCTATTGCTCCAGGAAGTATGATTCACTGCACCGAGATTCGTTCCTTTTCGCTAAATAAATTGATATTGCCTTTTCTATTTATACAGTTTTCGGTTTCAGTTTCTGGGTGCTGAATTGCGCTGTGACATGGCAGTGTAGCTTGGTCACGTGGCCCCGCAAGACTATGACGCACGTCGTCCTGTTCTCAGCTGGCTTCCTCACACATATGTGCCGCACAAGCGCCTGCTAAAGAAACGTGTAAGCTGCAATGCTTTGCCGGTACGTACGTGGCGGAGGTCTCCGAAGGCCACTCACCTCACTACCATGCGCACGAGATCGGGGGTAAGGGGCGGCCACTCCCGTAGTCACCTACGAGAAGGGTGTGCAAACACAGCCCCACACATTGACACTATAGGGAGGGGGCGCTGCGACTTAGGGAGACTGCGCGAAGTCAGGCCTATGCATTGACATAACAGGGAGGGGCGGTTCCAGCGAACCTTTCTTCCCCCTGAAGGGGAAACCTGCGCACGCCTACACTCACTACCGGTCTGGTGTGACGTCACTGCAACTTTTGTTGCCTTTCCCACGGAGTTACCACAGTTCTGGACACGCTTGCAATGGGCTTCGGTCGAGATAATAAGCACTTAGGTACACTTTGGAAGTGACTTTACTTATGTTCTAAATGTTTGCTTTCTCCAACCATTGCTTTTTTTAGCCTCGAAATTTGATGGCACCACCCCTTTATTGGGGGGAGACTACCCCGGAAACCGAACGTTTTTATTTTTAAAGATATTTTAATGAAACGTTCTTCAGGGTATGTTCACTACATTAAAACCAGAAAAACTGCAAAATTTCATGAAATTATGTTCCGGGACTCTAGGCGTTACTGAGGTCTAACTGGGTGGTTCACTTGTGTGCCTGAGGAAGAAATCCTAAGACATACCAGAAGGCTGAAATTCCAAGAAATTCCAAAACATACCAGACACGCCAATCTTGGGATGAAATCCCAAAACATACCAGAAGGCTGAAATTATTTGTGGTCATCCCTGGATAGATATCCTAGGGCGGTAGAGAAGTGTTTCTTTTTTTTTTTTCAATTTCCCCTCCAAAAACATTTTATGCAACTTTGAATTTGATGTAGCCAGTAGGTATGACATTTATCAAAAATTAATTGTTTATTAATAATTAATGGCACCAATTTTCAAAAAAAAAAAAGAAAGAAGCTTGTTACACCCTGGCAAAATCATCCAGGAGCAGAATAAAAGAAACGGCACAGAAATCTGATAAGCTGTTCTTGAGAAATCGCTTTCCTCAGCACCACATCTAGCAAAAAAATTCATTTTGAGAAAATGAGCTTTGTAAGTTCAGCACATGTGTTTTCCTCAAAAAGCTCTAGTAGAGTATCTTGAAGTGTCCTTGTGCACTCTTTTCCTCTTTTGTCTTCCCTCCACCTTCTCTAAGTGCTGTTCGGCAATTTTTTTTCAGACGCAGGGCATCTCTTTTAAGAGTCAGCTGCATGAGTTCAATTGTTTTTTGTATTAGTTTTTTTGCGCCGCTGGCATGATTCGAGTTCAGCGCGAACGGCGTCTCGCATTCGCATCGATTTCTTCCTTAGTTAAAAATATGTCCACAGATGAAGGGTGGACGGCCTATGCACGCCATTGGCCCCGATGTAGATGAAGTGCTGTGTCTGGGGATCTTAGCAACCCTCGGTGCTACGCTCAATGGCACCGATTCAGAGCATGTGCTGGATCCGGCGATTTCGGACGTGCTCGATGCATTCGCGGCTCCAGGTACACACGGTTCATCGGATTCTGGACTGGCGGTAGCCGACAGCACAGTTTCGCCGCCGCAAGCATGTACGCACTGGGCACTTGTAGCAGAAAAGCGGAATTTCGATTCTCGTAGAAGCCGCATTACGCGTTTCCACGCTCCGAAATTAGCGCACAGTCTTGAAGGGGGCGTCAGGCACAGCAACGAAGATAAAGGGCACAGAACTTGTGCGAAAAGAAGAAAAAAAAAAGAAGAGAAACTGATCGAAAATGCAGCACAAGGCAAAAAGCGGCTCGTAAGCAAACGTCTATCGAGGCGGACGGAGCAGAGAGCAACAGCGTCAGCGAGACGAGCGCGACGGACGTGCCATCGCCAGGAGGGACCGCCCCCACTTGCAGTGCAGCAGCCAATGGCGGGTACGCTTTTGCCCGCGAGATATGAAGTGAGCTGCTCTAGCCAATCAGTGCTTTGCATCGCTTCTTGGGGGAAATGCCGATAGCATCTCAACTGTGCCGTTGACACTATCTTGAAAGGCGGAAAACGAGAGAGAAAGAATTTACAGGCGCGGGACGGCCGCATGGTCTCGGAATGGCACGCGCGCGAAGTTTGGTTTGATTTTGGCTTTAGCACGTGTTTTAGGCACTGCTCGAAAATAGCATCCTTTTTTTTCACTTTGGGGCTGAATTGGGCACTGATATTTACAGAATAGGTACGGTAATTACTCGGATCTAACGCGCACCTTTTTTCCGGTTAAGCGAGTTCATAAATCGCATGCGCATTAAAATCGAGTGCAAAAAAAATAGAATACGGTTATTCTATTGCCATCGGCATTTCCAAAATGGCCGCCCCCTACGTGCTTCGGCATCGCGCGTCGGCCATTTCTGCCTATGTGTTTCCCATGTGCGGCACTTTGTACATGTGCTGAGGAGTTCGTCATCTTGTAGGTCATTAGCATCGACGGCATGAAAGGGCCGACTCCAGGCACCACAATGCTGCTTTTAAAAGAAAAGTCATCGCATGTGCCGAAACAGACGGAAATCGAGCCGCATTGCGGTCGTTCGGAGTTTCCAAAACGTGCGTGTGGGACTGGCGGAAACAAAAGCAGAAGATTGTCAAAGATTCATTCAAAGGCTTCAGTGGACCACAGCAGGGTCGGTTTCCGCACATTGAAGAGCTGCTCGCCGAGTATGTGCTTGAGCAGCGAGCGGCACAGCGGCCCGTGACGACAGAACTGCTCGAAGTGCGGGCTATGCAGTTAGCTTTAGAAAAAGGGCTAACGCGGAGCCAGTTCAAAGCGAGCAGGTGCTGGCTAACTAACTTTATGAAGAGGAAATGCTTTTCCCTCTGAAAGCGAACGGGCATGCGCCAAAACTTGCCGGAAGAGTACAAAGAAAAGCTTCACAGTTTTCAAAGGTTCGTCCTAAACTTGCGGCACAACAACGGCTACCTGCTTGGGCAAATCGGAAATGCCGATCAGACGCCTCTTTACTTCGACATGCCTGGCACCACAACCGTCGAGAAGAAGGGGGCGAAGCAAGTTCGCATGCTGACATCGGGCCACGGTAAAACAAGAGTGACGGCAATGCTCCGTTGCACGTCAGATAGGCACAAGCTTCCCCCGTACCTCATATTTAAACGGAAGGCGCTCCCGAAAAGAGTCGTTTTCCCGAGTAGTGTGATCGTGCGGGCCAACGAGAAAAGTAGGTGCGCGTTGCAATCGATGTCTTACTTTTTTTTTTTTTTCGTCGTGAAAACCGATTGCGCGTTACAATCGAGGGCGCAGTAGAATCACGTAAATACGGTAGTTTTTGTGACATACAACCCAATGTTATGGTTTCTTAAAAACAGGCTTTTTCGCATTTTTTCTGTTTTCAAGGGCCGCGTTCCCCCTTAAAGGAACAGGCAATCGCTTGGAACACATATTGAAGTAACCCCACTGATATTGTCTATTGTAGTGTCTAAAATAAACCTCGTTTTCCTGGTTGAAGTGTGGATTTATGTTTTTATTTCTTCACTCAAGGTTGTTTTGGCACCTCTCACAGCACAAGTGTAGATGCACTTAGTTGGCGATCATGTGACCTCTTGCTGGTCACATGCTAATAAAGGGACTGACAACTGCCCAGAATATGAAAGGAAGTGACTTCACTGATGAAAAGATTGACCTGTCTCACGGATTCAAACCAACCGTGTTTTTTTTTTTGTGTGTGTGATAGGTGGATTGAACTTTTTATTTCTTCATTTAAAGTCACGAAAAATGACCTGTGGCTTCTCTGGTGGCAAAAGCATGAACAATCTAATGTATCTGGTCAGGTGACCGTTGATTGCTGTATGTGGTCAAAGATATTTATTTAGTATTGAAATATTGTTTGTTTGTTTTATGTTACAGATACTACTGCATAAAAATGTACAGTACATATTGGCTTGCGTTAGTTGTATGCATTAAAGTGGCGCTGCCTCCACGTGACATAATGACCCATGCTCGGCAGTGGGTCTTCAGCAACTTTTCAGCGTGCTCATGGAATCGTACATGCAATTTCCAGGCCGCTAAGATTTAGGAGTGATGTAGTTTTGCTACCTTCACTTCATCCTGAAAATGATGCACTGTGCTACTCGGCACAGCCGTGCATATACGTGATGACGTTTTCGATGACTCGGCTCTGCTCGTGTATCCAGAGAGTAAGGAAGCCAGCACAAGCCAGCCAAACTTTGGGCGCAGGTGTACAGAACACTGTACAAGTACAAAGAGTGTATAATGCAACGTCGTCTTATCGTAACAGCTTGGTATTTTGAAAAATAGTTGTAAAAGCTCAAAATAGAGGTGGTTAAGAACAGCTTCAGGAACTCCTACGAAAGCAGGACAATGACAGCTTTGACAATTCCCGAGAAAGTCTGGCGGCATCGCTATCAAGTCTTGCTATTCTTTGACGAAAGGTACATCTGTGTTAAGAGCCTTTCAGATCAAAAAATAGTGCTTATAAACTACGTGCTTTTGGGAATAACTACTGCAGCTATGAACACTACGAAGGGTAAGCTTTCTGTCGTGCCATAAAATAATGAGTCGAGAAAAATCAGGTTGTCTATCTTTTTAATTGTCTCTCTAATAGCATTGAATACAGGACACTTTGTACTTCAATCTTTTTAGCTTAAAACGTGCACATATGAATTTGTTTGTAGTCAGCAGAACAGTGGTGCTGCCTCCGCTTGACATTTGATGCTCATGAGCAGCAGTATAAATATTTTTACTTCAGGACCTCGTAACAACTGCCAAAGAGGTAGAGAACTACGAAGAGGACCCCACTGCCTTAGCGATTGGCTCTAGCCAAATGCTGACGAAGCTTACTTTGGTAAATACAGGACACAACCAGCTGCACTGTGGTGACATTTCTTTTTATTTAGACACTAATCTTTTTTGGTTGAAAGCCAGAAGGCCACAAAGTGCTAGTCACTCAGACTCGTCTGAACTTGAGTCCGACAACGTATGTTTTTCAGCGAGTAACGCCCCATGAGTGCATCGTCCTCCATTCCATCCAATGCTTTACAGATGCAGCATTTGCAAAAAGGGGGGAAGTACGCCGCCTCAGCGCAGAGCCCTTACGCTTCATACATCGGCGCACTCGCGATGGCAATTCATTGAATTGCACTCTTGAGAGCCCAGAGTCGCGCACTATCTCGAGAGCTTTCACGCGAATGCACTCCGCTGTCTCCAGTAGTGACCTTGCATGCAGCTCCCAGAAGAATTCGGCAAGTAGTGTTTCCAGTTTGGGGTGCACTGCAGTCCTTCCGCGAAACAATGCTTTTTTTTTGTTCCCCTGTGATGTGATACGCTGCTTTTGGCTCCAGTATTGTACGCTTTTCTCCGCTGCACCGAATTCCCGTTGTGCCCCCAGGTAGCCGTGCGCTTTGGCATACTCGATAACGTTTTTCTTGAAGCCTATCGTAAACTGCCGTCGACGACCATTCATTTCTGAAGGAAGTAGAAAACAGCAGACTGACAGCAGATAACCGAGGCCAAATGGTGTTGCTAGAACGCTGTAGGTATTGCCTAGCCTTGCCCAACAGTTTTGCTGTTGATGCTCACGATGGCAATGGAGGTTTTGAATTCAACTGCTCATTGTTGCGAGACTTCCTCATTTTTTTCTGCCAATGACCAGTATATAAGACGAGGGTCGACTTTCTATTGCGTTTTTTTTTTTTTGTTCGACCTATATTCCGGTCGGTATTCTACCTGCTTTCCATATTAAAAAAAATAGTGTCAAATATAGGGTGGTTAACCACAGTTTCACACAGTCCTGTGAAAGCAGAACCTTGAGCACAGTGCGAGGAGGGCTATCAGCATTTCTATCGCGCCATAGCATTGCTGTATAACATCTACATAGTATCAGCATCAAATGAAAGCCGAACAGTGGCAAGCCTATGCGATACCAGAGTCCTTCAATGCTTTTCTGGTCACGAAACTCCGCCCGAAGGTTGATATAGGGACAAAATCTGTCGCTAAAGGGGCCACCCGTCGTATGGGGGCCACAAGCCGCCGCCACTGCTGGGCTTGTATGCGCACTGCGGCCGACGTTTCGACGCGATTATGTGCGTGCTGTTCTTCCTGTTACCTTTTTTTAACGTCTCTGAACGCATCAATGACACCAGATAAATAAGTTGAAACGGGATCCAGTGTCGACAACGACTGAGAGCTGTTTACTTTGGAACGCACGCGTAGTTTACTTGGAAGTGCGGGCCCACCTTATAAACAGCAGCGCATTAAAAGTGTTCTCACACCGCGCGATAACGCATTGTGTCAATAATTGTCTCATAGCCCAATTATATGCATACTTACGATGCCTCGAAGCGGTACTTGCGAGCTATAGCTCGCAAGTGTTGAAAGACGATGCTTATGCTCCATGCTCTTGATGCGAGCAGCTACTGCTTGATCTGCTCGACAACATGTTTGTATTTGCGCCCGGCCAAAGGGCGATTATGTTTATGCGGTAGGTGAGCTTTATATTCTGGTAGGTCCGCTAATAGGGGGAGGAAGGTGAACGAAATGAAACACGACTGGGTAGTACAGGAGCAATCACATTGGTTTATATCCGGCTCGCCTCTCGCGCGCTACTACCCAAGTATTCAAATGAACTGAATGGTTGAGCCAGAAGTTTTATTCCAGACCTTTCAGTTGAGTTTATACCCAAATGCGCAGTTGTTTTGGACACACGTTTGTGAGCGCCGATCGCTTTTTTGACGCGGGGACTTTCGTTGCCGAGGGCTTTCGCGACCGCTCTAAACGTGCCCAACATTTGATTGATCACTTCTTTCCACGCAGTTTACACGGGACACCCGCCGCTTGACGTTTCCTTGTGTTTACTGTTTAGGGCATTATTATTTACCAGCCGACAACCCATGATTTCTCCAAGAACGGAAGTACAGCAGTCTAATCTGGAAGTTCCTTTTGATGACAGTGCTAGCCACTTGGCCGCCTCTGCCACTACCGAGGTACCTCATCACACATTTGTTTTTATTTTTTGGGTGGGAGGGGGGGAAGGGCGGTTATGATTTAAGGCATGCAATAAATCTTAAATTTGGTGCTAATGATACGCCGCCTAGTAGTCAAGTGTGTACTTATGAATGGGAGATTCACATATGGTGCATGTAATGGGGAGAAAGTTGGAAAACATTTATTTACACAAAATACACTGAGAACAACACTTTGGAGAAGAAAAGCACTAGAAACTATTGCAGCTGTTCTGAGCAATGTTACACAATCTGTGACTCTACTGTACAATGTGTATTTCGTTTCATTAACAGCTGCACTCTGCCTTAGCTCACTGCCTAAAATAAACTGTATTTGAATATACACTATTTACACTATATGCAGATAAATATGAATAGTACGAAAATATTACAGTGTAATGTATACAAGATATACAACACTATATACAAATGGGAAGGCGTGCTCACATACACAGCCATTATGCTTAACACTGTGGCTTCCGCCTACCACTTGCAGGGCATGAACTGCGCACAGTTGCCCGCGAGGCTTTGTTTTTTTCTCGAGTGAAGAAATGTAATCTACATCTCAAAAAAAAGTGTACAACCTCAGCTGTTGTCCCTAAAAAGTGCAACAGACAACCTACACTTGCTGACGCTGTGCGGCTGTCGAGCAAAATGCCCTCAACAATCCTCGCGTACACGTCACCGCATGCAATGTTTTGCACCGTGTACGTCTCTACATGTTCTTCAACAATTTTCAGGAGAGCAAGAAGACGGCTGCTAGGTACTTTCAAATAGCCCCTCGATTTTGTTTGGATCAAGGCAGATGGCTGACGTGTTGTGCTCAACATCGTTTCGATGCAGCCTAAGCAATCCAAAGTAGAAAACTTCTTGGCCACATATCCGCCGAGGTAATCCAAAATGGAGTCTTTGGTCGAAAGGGGGCCAATGTCCTCCACGCAGTCTGTTGTTGGCTCCAGCAGGACATCGTCCAGCAGAACAGCTAGTGTGTCCACCTGAAATGTGCACAACTTCCTGAATTTTCAAGGTGATAAAAAGGAAACTTCAGGACACATACAGGACACAAATTGCAAAATACCTGAGTCGTAGAGGGCTTTTCCTTGCCAAAAAGACCTTGCAGAGTGAGAAGCAGTTGTGGCCCGCTTCCGTCAACTGAAGCTCGCTTAGGTGGCCGCACGAGGTTGTTCACCGACAGCATCCGGTATATAAACAAAAACTGCTGAACAGTTGGGTGGCCCCCGTCTCCTGCAACATGCCTGGCTATCCCAAAGAAGCGCTGGACAGGGAAAAAGAAAGGTATCTGTACCAACACACCGTGCCAAAAAGTACCTGAATTACCTCTAAAGGGTCTTGGCCGAGGTTTCCAACTAGAACATAACGGAAGCCAGACTTCAAGAGTCGATCAATCAGGGCCACCGTGCTGTGCAGCGTTATCCTCAGTGCACCACAAGTTGGTTTGCTAAGGAAGCACACCTGCCTCTGCTTCGGCAGGCTCTCTATGTATGTGCAGCAATCCTCCAGCCACTTTATGTTCGCCTTCAATGTCTGCAATGCAAGAAATAATAACCTTGAGTACACTATAAAAGAAAAACATATTTGGGTGTGATTTACTCGCTCACCGCGATGTGCTCGGCTTCGTTGTATTGCACGTCCTGTGGTCTTCTTGAGTTGAGGCAGTCAAATAGATCGTTGATCTGCTTCGTGAAGTCGTATGTACCTGCAGAGTTATGTAGCTTTTGGCAGCCTTCTTGCTTGCTATAAAACTCCATTGCAGATGCCGTGCTTCCGCTGAAAAGCTGAAAATGATGGCACACTGTTGTTGAACGAAAGAGCTTGCATTGAAATTTGTCTTTTTTGACAAATCATCAGCAAAGTTTTGTGTCATTAGTTCGCCTGTAAGTAGCCTTACTAATTACTAGGAGTGGTTACTCGCCTGAACAGCAAGCCGGACACTCATCTTCTGGAAGGCGTTCGGGAAGATGTGAGCCCTTGTGAGCTTCGGGACAGCCCGAAGGCCAGCCTGTTGCTCCTCGTACTCCAGCAGGGCAGAGTAGTGGAAGTGATGGACCTCATGTCCTTCCGGTAGCTGCGATAAAAAGGTGAAGCCACTCCTCGCAAAGGGAGTAACCTGACGTAGATATGAATTACTGCTTACCAGAAACTTTCCAACCTTCTGAAGATTGTTCCTTATGCATTTGAAGACATGCGGTGGATCAATTAGTGCCTGCACTGTCCGTGAAGGGTCACATGGATGCTGGAATGAAGTTTGCAGCTGTTTCTGGTCACTGTTTATCCCTGAAAAGAACACATCAATGCAGTTAGTAGTGTTCAATTCTTAATTTGACAAATTTAACTCGTGTCCCCAGATACTAGCCCAAGCTCCTTAAAGCTGAACGATTTGGTGTTGAATTGTCGCATGTAACAGCATCGACAATAGCGCCAGCGTTCGAAAGGTGCACAATGCACTGGAGCAACAACTTCGCTACTATTGAACCAGGGGCTGCACTGGAGGAACAAAAGGTCCCAACAGTCTGCGACCACCCTCCAAGAAATGGTCGGAAGAGAAAGACCAGGACGTGATCGCCATCTTTCTCACAGTCCGAGGGTCTTGTGTGCTCAGCGAAGTTAACTTTTCCGAGCAGAGCCATGTCTGACTCCCTAATGTGCACACTCTTTCTTACGCTCATTTCATCGAACATCAGGACACCTGTAAAAAAATACATCTTATTAGACATGCACCACATATGAGATATGAAGTCATAGAATGCAGTAGTAAGTTTGTGCATTGTTCCAAACCTCGATGCTCTCGCTCAGGAAGTACTTGCAGCTTGTCTTTGAGAACGGTGAATAGACTGCTGTCAAAACCAAAGTCAGCCTTGAGGCACCTCAGGTACGTGTAGAGGGTGCGAGGGTTGGGCAAGGGAAGGTACTCATTCTCGTGAAGGAATGTATAGACCGCTGTCGACTTAATCTTCAGTAGCAGGCAGTCATAAATTCATGCTTTTTTGTACCTAAAGAGAGTGCAGGCTCGTTGTGCATTCAGGTAAACCGAGGCTGGTGAGTGAACAGTGCAAGTGCATAACCACAGCAAGCAGAAAAAAGAAGATGCACGACATGCATCACACCATCTTTCCTCATACCGCAATACACAACCACCGCGTTTAAAAATGCCTTGTCATTTTCAATATTAACATGCACCCCTACTCCAGTACGAGAGCAACAGACAGCTTGCATTGTGCGATCATGCAAAGCGGGCAATTTAGGATTACTCTGACATGCAATGCTAGCGTGCACTGCTCTTAAAAAATATGCACAAGACAGTGGCACGAAAAAGATGTGCGATTATATTCATAGCTTCGTGGCAGTTATGTGCGACTGAAGATTACCTGGCAGCTTTCGGAGATTTCGCGTTTGCCTTCATGATGCACTGATCGTAAATAAGCTTCTCGCGGGTAGATAGCTTGTCCAGGTTTTGCAAGAGTCTTGCATTTTTGTTGGCCAGGACTCTCATCTTCGCAAGCTGCTTCTGACACCGTTCGAGTCGTTGCCGCGTACTCGAAAGCTGCGCCTTTAGCGCCTGCACTTCAAGAAACGAACACACTGCCTGTTCCGTTTGGCAGGCCTGATCTGCGTGTCCGCTATCGCTGGCTGCTGCATCTGTAATACAAATCAATAACACTGTTCAGAAGCACCTCAATGCCACCAGCTGCTAACACAGGGTCATGCGACTGAGGGAACAAAGTAACGCCGCAACTAAACCGGCTCAAGAGCTTACCGTCACTGGCTTCTCCTGCCGAGTCGGTGTTGACATTTTGGCATTCCACTGCTGCGCATTCGGGTGACAATTCGCGCCGCCTCTTTGCTGGTTGCCTCTGAGTCGCAGGCCGTGAACGCGGTTTCGGCTTTGTCAGGTACGCCGGGAGCCCGTCAAAAATTCTTGGAACAGCGTTCGTGCGAAGCCTCGGTCTCTCTCGCTGAAGCGACACGACCACCCCGTTCACGATGTGCTCGTCGGTTCTCACAACGTCGCTAGCATCAAAATGCTTTTTGCACACCCGAACGTTCTTACTTTCGAAGCTGAAACCGCCAGCTTCCAACCGCGGTATAGCTCGCTTCCATTTCTCTCGGAGTTCGGCGCTACTTGGGAAACAGAAGAGCGATGCCTTTTCTTTGTTGCTTCGGTATCCGGAGCTGCAACCCGTCACACAGCACGTCTTAGGCATTGTTCATTCGAATTTTCATGCCGTACACCTTGAGCACGGTGCACTGGCACATGAAGTTCGCGTTTCGCTGATGCAGAAACCGCGAGCTGCTACCACACAACGCCTTCGGGATGCCGCCGCGGCCAGTGCGTTCCGCCGGGCGCAGCGGGGCGATGGCCCCCCTAGGACGGCTTGCGCCGCGTAGCGGCCGCTCTTGGCACCATATCAAGCTCTCCCATAGAGTGACGGAGAAGTTTCGTGACCAGAACGGTATTAAGGGACTGTGGCGATACTTAGTGCCCGTCGCCCAGTTATCACCATTGACAGGCATGCATACTGTTTGACAGTTCTGCACATATATGCATGCCTGTTTGTGGTGATAAGTGGACGGCGTGCACTATACCATCGCGAAGGCTTGCCACTATTTGGGTTTCATTTGATGCTGACGGTACAGTTTAGAGGCTTTTAAGAGAGAAAAGGGCTGTTTACAAAATAATCACTTTCTTCAGGGATTAACTACTACAGCTACAAACACTGCGAAGGGTGAGCTATCTGCTGAGCATGAAAAACTAGGTCGAAAAAACTTGCATGCCAGTTCTTTTAAGCAAGAATAATGAGAATTAACAGACGATGGGGCCAGGGAAAGTATAGGAGATGTTATAGGAGGTAATTGTAATGTAAAATGTGAGGAATGAAAAGTGGACGAAAAGGTAACATGCCGTGGGCGGTGACCGAATTTGCAACTTGTGAATAACGCGTCTGATGCTGTACATTGGACACATTATTTGGAAGTCACACGCTTGCTCCCTGCCCACAGCAAGTTATCTTTTCGTTCACTACTCTTTTCTCACATTTTGCAATATAATTACGTCCAATAACATCTCCTATACTTTGCCTGGCATCATTGTCCCTTAGTTCTCATTAATATTGTGCCTAACAAAAAAAAAACGAGTCCTTGAATTTACACTTCTTTTCTTCAGCTCTAGTTAACTTCACCGAGCCGAACCGTCGCGCAGTTGAGTCAGCGGGTAGCGCGTAGAACAGGTGTTCAAGTTGTTTAATGGTTTCATCGCACCCTTTTCGGCACTGCTGCATTGCTTCCACCGCGTTGCAGCAGAAGCACCATTCCTTTAAAGGACGATGGTTGAGCCGTCATCTTTGTACATCGGGAGGGGCCCCTGTGTGTACAGAGAGCCCTTAACGAAGGCATTGCATCGTTTTCGACATCGGGAAAATAGAGCCGTGGGCCACGGCTGGCGCGGCATGAAAGTCAGAGTTTGCTATGCATTGGGAGCGACCCTCGGAAGCAATTTGCAGTTTTAAGAGGAATGTCAGCATCGGCCCAGTTTCATGTAAAATAGGTGAACTAGAGGAAAATGCTTGTTTCGCCGGGGGTGGGCAGGCGAAGTGGTGGGCGGCATTGCTTAATGAGGGCAAGCCCGACAGTCGACAAAGGGCTCGGCGGCACGCAACTTCAAAAGGACAACAATGAAGAGAGATCTCGTTTTGACTTTGCGTGGGTCGAATGGCAAGCTAATTTGCTCGGAGTTGGCGACATCCTAGCCAGCCGAGGGACTTACGAGTGATGTTGCCACGCCAGGCCGACTACACGGAAACAAAAGGAAGTTGTAAATGAAAGGCCTCTGGAACACTGCTGGAGTTGTCGCACAGTGTTGCTCCAAAGATGTACTGTAGAAGGTAGACTTGAAAGGGGGTGGCTACGATGTGGACTGGAATAGCCCTGCCTCTTTTTTTGGTGTTACGATCTGATGCACTCATTGGTCGAAATAGGGTGAGAGATTCCAACAACGATTCCACCCCATATCACAACTGTTTATAAACGAGGTGTATGTGTGAATGAGAAAAGCGCGAATCGGGAATCGGCCGCCGCTGGGTAATTATTTGTGTTGACCTGATCTGGTCTTGCCTTTGACTTTTGCTTTTAATCAAGTTTTGTTCAGGAAGTTCGCCTCCCTTATTACAAGGTATCTGCAGACCATTAGGAAGAGGCATTCGAAGTAGCGGGAAACGTCGAGCTTCCTACCAACCTGGCATTGATGCTTTAACTACTCTCCTTTAAGCTGGCTTTTTCAATGTGTCTCCACTATAGAGTGTAGACCACTTATAACTTAACCACATATAGTGCAGAACCAGTTACAATGCTGTCTCTTTCTACTCCTGTTTATCCTCCCACAGAACACCATGTATACACATAACTGCTTATTGTCTACTCCCCCACGATGAAAGACCGGTTATAATACAGTTGCCGGAAAATTTTGGTGACAAAGTTGGTAGAGTGTGTGCGTCTGAAGGGAGAAGCGCTGGGGAGCGAGCAACACCAGGTCGTTATAGAGGTGGAGAAGACTAATGCAGGGCTGAGGAAAAAAAAAAGAAAAGGAAAAAAGACCCCAACACGCCGAGCTGGGCTTGCCAAAGGCAACGGCATCGCAGCAGACACGGCTGCAGTATACGCGTTGCTAGCATGGCTCAGGCTGCACGCAGCTCCACAGGGAATGAGCAATCCTGTTCTTACCAACTGCACTTAGCAGTTTCCTGTCAGGAAAAGCGTCGTCATTATTGAGCTTGCTACAGATATTACATTTGCTACCTTGTCCGTAAACTTGAAACCTTTTACAGTTTTATGATGGGAGCTTTCGCATTTGCTGCCAATGCGCGGTCTTACATTAGCTTGGCGGGTTTCTTCGTTGTTGATTTCTCGGCCGTAAACAGGAACTTTGTATCACGCACACTGTTCTTTATGCAATGCTTCAGTGCAGTTTTTTCGACGCTGGATCTCCACATCTTGGGCAAACTTCCCGCGACAATATGCCAAAGGGCAGGTATAGGCCTAATCGCAATAGTTGCGTTTCGGTAGCAGTCGCGTGCTATTATAAGTTTCGGTTTGACACGGAATCAACGAAACTCTTTGTGGTAGCTGCACTTGATGGTTAGGGATACATAGCGTTAATGAAAATGGGGGTGGCATGTGTAGCACTGCGTGAAATTCTGGACATGATCTGACAACGATCTGTGTAATGCGTATAATGGAAGCAGTCTGAGAAGTAGTTGACGAATTTTCATGATGCTGCTTTCCTCTGTTAGAACCCCCCTCCACCCCAAGCCTTTCATTTCGATTGCTAATGTATGTCCTTGGATGTAAATGTTCATTTTTTTAACATTTAGGAATTTAAAGGGTTGTAAGCGCCACTTATTGCAATGCTCCGATTCTCGGACATGTGAGCTGTATGCTCAACATGTTTCGCAGAAGTGCAGCCCTTGAAGAAGTTTGTTTTGGTTATAGTAGTGCCAGTGGCTATGATGAAAGGAAAACCTGATTGTTGCATCTGTTGACATGATTGCTTGCACTGCAGGACGTTGAGCTGAACAAGCGTAAGCCGGCCTTTATCAAGGCCAAGGAGCGGACGGCGCACATGCAGAAAAAGTTAGAGGCAGCCCGCAAGTCTCTCAAGGCGGCAAAGAAGGTGGACGAGACGCATCAGAGCGAGATTGCCGAGCTTGAGAGGGAGCTTGAGGAAGTGGCCGAGCACATGCAGGAGTTCGAGCAGCAGCTCAGCCAGGAGAGCCAGGGCCGTGACGTCTCGCTGGAGGACTCGCAGGTGAGGGTGACATGATGTTTACGGATATCATGCTGAACTATTAGTTTGCTCTGGTTTGTACCGCTAGGTGCAGTTTGCACTGCTGTGACACACTGCACACAAATGTAGCCACTAAAGGTTTCTATTATGTGAACTTTATGTGCTGCTGATGCTAAAACTTCATGGGGGTTCAAAATTTAAAGGGCTAAGAGGCGAAAAATGCGAGTTTTTTTTTTTTTTTTTTTTCAAAATTACCTATTTTTTATTTTCGCCTGTTTTGATAAGATTAGTCCCTCTACTGTCATTAAAAAAATAATACAGGTCGAGACTTAACTGGAAATGCTTTAAAATTGCATCTAAAGAGCACAAGGTGCCTGTTAAAAGGTCGAAAGCTTGCAGTTTCGAGCACCTTGCCGCCGCTCGCCATTGTTGAATCGCATGAGTCGAAGAGTCGAGCTTCACTCTTCAAATAACAACACTTTATCTCGCTCATGCAGCGCAAGAAATAATAAAAAGAATCACTCTTCTGCGCGTTTTTCGAGCGCCGCAACTTGCTTATCAGTGATCATGGTACGAATCGGGGACCGCCATTGGCCGCTGCGCACCTGTATGTGCTGTGAAACCTATTTGCGGGGTCCATGTCTTGTCGAGCAGCGCAGCTGAACAATGCTCTTCTCGTGTAATTATCTCCGTTATGAATGAAAAAAGGCATTGCTCGCAAGTGAAAGCCGTTGTGCGGCGCGCTCTGTAGGAATAGGCTATGAGCAGCTGGTCCAATTTGCGGCAGTTGTTGGCTTGCGAAAATCAATGCATCAAAGTCATTCACTGCCCGTCAGTCGGAAAGTTCGTGATGCGGCAATGGATAACGTCAGCGCCAATCTTGAGAGGTCGAAAGAGCTCGCAGTGAGAGAACTTAGCAGAGACGACATTGCCATTATGTACGACGGTATGTGGCACAAACATGGCTGCAAAATGGCATGACACTGGACTTAGTTTGGATTTTGCGGTCCTGTCGAACTTCTTCCTAGCTTGCAGTTGGCACAAGGCTCTGCCAGATAGAGCGGAAGTTTGGCAAGCGTTTCATGGCCCTGTCTGTGAGCTAAATGTCTGTGAGGAGTCAGTCGGCTCTAAAATGCTGAGAGGGACAAACTCACTGGTGCTGGCGTATTTTAGTCACAGTGGCGACTACACGAAGGATTGTTCTTTTTGGTGTCCTAAATTTCATCTGATTTAATAATATCTTTCATAAATAAAAACTCAATTTTAACTTTAAAACTTGTTTTTCTCAAAACACAAATTTTGCCATTTTTTTCAATGTGCCCCTCCTTTTTCGGGCCCTTCTAGTACTCGGATCTGCATGAAATTTCGCCCAATTTTTTTTCAAAGTATGACAAATGCAATTATCTAGTTTAAATTTCAATATTTTATTGTATAATAAAAAAGTTGTATGTATACCTTTACTAGGGTAGGTGAAATATGGACTTTTTACGTCTATTATTTTTCACGTGTATTACATATTTTGTATGTGCTTTCTAATTAGTTATTTGCACTCTAGACTTTATTTCAAGCAGTATGAACTATGAATGGTAAAAAATTACAGGATTTTAGGGATGAAAAGAGGGGGGGGGGGGGCAAAAGGGTTAAGGTTCTCACTTTGTCATGTTGCAGAGCTAAAAGTGTGTAACTTGCAAGAAAACTAATTATATATTTGAAATCAGCATAAAAAGTTTCATAAACAGCCTAAGTTTCATTGCTCTAGGGTGAATATTAAAGAAAAAGTGTCTTCGAGTAGAATCCCTGCAACGCTTTTTGAGCATGGTCAGAAAACGCTGCCAATCGGTAGTAGAGGTTTTGAGAACACGCGAGCCAAGTATAGCGCAGCATGCAACCTGGAATTCACAATAAGTTATCGAAGTCAGCTGAAAATTGCTTTTCTTCTCTCAACCAATGACGGAGGAAACTCAAAAATAACTCGTAGAAGGTTATCTATCAGCCATTGGTTGATTCGAACATGGTGCGCTTGGTCATTCCAGAGATTGTCGCAGGAGGTCACGACTTGTCCATGCATGCGCGCGCGATCACCCTAAAAATGGTTTGTACTAGAAGGGAAAAAAAAGTGCTCAAAGGTCACAAGGTGGGCGTGACATATTTTGTTTGCCCCTGCCATTTTTTTTCTGTTTAGCTTCCAGCGCTTTCGTCGGGACGAGAGAAGAGAGAATGCGTTTGCAGCATGACACAGGTCTTTGTAACTTTGCTCGTACTGGAAAAATTTTTAAAATTTCTGCGGCGTGGAATTCGTGAGGCAATAAGCTCTTCTAGTGGTTCCGTTCCATGGTTACTTGAAAATCAGTTTCAGGGCCTCTTTAAGAAAATATTTCACAGGATTTTAAAAAAAAAAAAAAATAAAGCTGTGTCCTAGACTGTTTCTAGAACTTCTGTATTGCCATCCACAATAGTGTTGTTTGTGAGCTCGGTTTAACTGACAGCGAATGCAGCAAACAGTAATTTAGGTTTGACTCAGTGGAATGCATGTGTGATGTCACAAACAAGGGTGCAAATACGTGATAACGAAAAGGGATTGCGCTGCAAATGCTGGCATCAAGCTTCATAGCTACATCGTGATGGCCGAATTGTTGCCGGCCAGTTCTTTAGCGGAAGAAATATTGTAATGTGCGCATAGTGGTAGTAATACTAGTAAAAGGGGACTTTGGGTAGATATTGAAAAGCAAGTCTCGTAATAGACATGGGCTTGCACCACGGAAGTTGGATGTAGAAAGTTGTAAAGTGATGTGTAATAAGGGCCGTAAACCACCCACAGGTCGAAATTCAGTTGTGGTGTTGGAGTTACGACAAACACATAGGGGAGAAAATTTTTCAAAACGGGGCTTTAATAGCAGAGGTACATTCGTTTCATAGTACGCAAGGTGTCCCTCATTCATTTTGCTGTTTCCTCCACTATGCTCTGTTTGTCTGCTCGTTTTTCCTCCTGCCCGAGTGCTCCTCCTCACCCTCCGAGGGTGAGCCAACTAGCAGGTCTTGTAGATGACGAGCAGACATGTTGAAGCCACGGCAAATGCTGTGGCTTCAACATGTCTGCTCGTCATCTACAAGACCTGCTAGTAGACATGTTGAAGCCACGGCAAATGCTGTGGGGATGGCGATTGCCAAAAGGCATGGAGAGGACAAAGAATTGATTGTTTCTTGGAATTCGTGGCGCATTTTCGGCTCGTAGCACTGCCACATTTGGCATTGCATCGAGTTCGCGACGGCAATGCAAACTCGATGTGCGTGTTCTAGAAAAGTAAAAAAATATATCGGAGGTTGTTTAGGGACCCTTTAAAAGCTTGCACCTTGCTTTAATGCCAAGTTACATGGTTTGTGCATTTATTTAGTGAATAAAAGTGTATTGATGTAGTAGTAAGCATTTGCTTGTTTTCTGGACACCCTTGGTTATTCGGAAATTTCATAAATTTGAGCATTGTTTTCAGTTCCGAATAATACAAATGACTGAGGTTCAAATGCACTGGCCGCTAGTCAGCATAGATGTGAGACCATCGCTACCTGCAACATTCAATAGATTGATTCACGGCATTCAATTGCGTCACCGAAATGTAACAGCTGTGGAATGAAACTGGACGCTGCATTGCCGCAGGTGCGCGAGTACCACCGGTTGAAGGAAGAGGCTGGCCGGCAGGCGTCGCTGCACCTGCAGAACCTGGACTCAGTGCGGCGCGAGCACAAGTCGGACCAGGACCGGCACGACAATGAGCTGCGCAAGCGTAACGAGATCCAGGCCAAACTCAAGCAGAAAAAAGCAGAGCTGGAGGAAAATGTGCGGCGCGTTGACAAGCTGGCCGAGCAGATCCGGTCGAGCGAGGCGAGCCTGGAGGAGCTGCGGCGGCAGGAGCAGGAGGTGTCCCAGGACGTGGCTGCCGCCAAGGGCCGCGTGGCTGAGATCAACCGCGAGCTCGAGGCCCTGATGAACGAGCTGGGCGACGCTAAGGTGGACAAGCACGAGGACTCGCGGCGCCGCAAGAAGGCCGAGATCGTGGACCACTTCAAGCAGCTGTACCCAGGCGTGTACGACCGGCTGGTCAACATGTGCCAGCCCATCCACAAGAAGTACAACGTGGCCATCACCAAGGTGCTCGGCAAAAACATGGAGGCCATCGTAGTCGACTCGGAAAAAACGGGCCGTGCCTGCATCAAGTACCTCAAGGAGCAGATGCTCGAGGCCTGAGACGTTCCTACCACTCGACTACATTGACGCCAAGCCGCTCAAGGAACGCCTCAGGTACGTCGAAGTGTCTTACAGTAGCGATATAGCAAGGTGGCCAAGTTGGTTTGATTTATTGTGATTTATTGTACTTTGGTTAACAGAACTACTTTACTGCACAGACAAAAGAATGGGGGGGGGGGGATCGCGACACGATGCTAACTCACAACTCAGCACTATGTCATGCTTTTCTTACTTCTTTTGTCTAGTTGCACTTTTATGCAATGTACAATGAGCACTACACAGTCTTCAACACAACCGGCATGTGGCAGTGTTAGACTTCTGTAAAAATCCGAAAGAAGGTTGTGCTCATTTCTTTAAATATTTTAAGTGATGCTTGTAATGCAGTTAATAAAGGGCTATACTGGTGTTGCCTTTACAGGTCCATCACAAATCCCAAGAATGTGAAGCTTCTGTACGATGTGCTCCAGTACGACCCTCCGGCCATCAAACGGGCTGTGCTGTATGCCACTAACAATGCCTTAGTTTGTGAGACAGCTGATGACGCCAGCCGTGTGGCCTATGATCTCGGAGACAACAAGAGGTAGGTTTTGGCTGCCTTCAGTGAACTTAAAACAGAATCTGTAACAAGTTTTGGAGCGCTATCTTGAATTGTACGTCCTGGGGTCTTACACTCTGCAATCTCTATGAGAAAGGTGATGTGTTGGTGTTTTTTTTTTTTTTTTTTTTTCCTCAGTGAGAGATGCGGCACAGGCAGCTTCGCTTGAGTGAACTCTGTTCATAAGCTTTCACAGTTGCTGACAAATATTCTTAATACCTATAACTATCGGGCGTACTTGATTATTTGGGCAGCTGCATCACCGCTGGTTCTATAGACTTGATCTATCAGGTGATAAATATGTCAGGCAAAATAATCAGCATGGTGCAATAATTTGGACTCAAGTTTCATACTGCATGCTAATTTGGGCACTAAGTGAAGCAGTAAATAGCAGCAGTTCGGTTTTAATACATCGCTAACACTTTTTAAAACCAAACTGTCGATCTGGTCATCAGGATAGCCCCAGACTGTGCCCATGCTTCAAAACAAGTTAAGCCAAGCATCTAAGTCGTGAAGGCCGCATTTCCACAATTTGCTGCGCATATTTCATTCTGTGCATGCAGTGTAAATTAATTTCTGTGCTAAGCAGCAACAGAAACTTGTTTGAGCAGTTTTACCTGCGGCGCTCGACGTCTGTGTGACTTGGTTATTGGACATACTTGGCTTCTACAAATATTGAATTTCGGGTTCGAAGCGAATACGAAGCATATAGTGATCTTGGTGGAATAATTTAGAATCGAATTCGAATGGTATGTATCACATATAAAAAAATGGGAATATTTATCATGACCTAACTAACCTGCACAGTCTTTAATTTAGTTTAATTTTTAGTTTATTTTTAGTTTTTAGTAGTTAGTTTAACTTTTATATAAATTTTAACCTGCACAGTTTTTAATTGAAATAGGGGCTCTAATCAAATGTCTTTTTTTTTTTTGTTGTTGTTCAAAGGAAGTTGAAGCAACTTTGAGTAGTTGTGAGATTTGAGTTTCGGTAGGAGGCTGGTGATAACTTGTAAAATATGTAACATTTTAAAATTTATTATACTTAGAGCATGTAAGCCATTATAACAAGCTTTAAAGCGTAATAAAATGATGAAATTGACTTGAGGGTAACATGTTCATTTAAAGGGGCCCTGCAACACTTTTTCAAGTAGCCATGAAGCCACTAAAGAAGCTTATTGCCTCTTGAATTCACCTCCGCAAAATTTTTAGGATCAGTCCATTATGAGCGGAGTAAGAAAGACTTGTCGCACACTGCAGTTGCATTTTCTTTTCTCGTCCCAACCAAAGAGCTGGACGCTAAGCAGGTAGTGATGGCAAGGGGAAAGAAAAAATTTCACATGTGCCTCAAAACCTTGAGCACTTTTTCTCTCTCTTATATTTTTTTTTTGAATACCCGTCTTTCAGTGCGCTCACGCAAGTACGCGTGGACAAGCAGCGGCCCCAGTAACGACCGAGCATGTCATGCTCAAGTCAGCCAATGGCTGTGACAAGTGACTTTTGAGCTTTTAGTGTGATTAGCCGAGAGAAGAGGGCAATTTTTAGCCGAATTTTAAATTTATTGTGAATTGCAGGCCCCGGGCTGCGCTATAATATTTGCCTCCCGTGTACTCGGTAGCCTCGACTACTGATCGCCAGCGTTTTTTTGACCATGCTTAATAATTGTTGCAGGGCCCCTTTAAGTTTGAAGGAAGACTTTGCGGCAAAGCAAATTTCTCCTGCATAGGTGCTTTCATGGCTTATCAACCTGAAACCACCTTTACAGGCGGTTACATGCGTCCTAATATACACCTATTCGTTCATTGCGAATACTTCGAAAGTTTCAATACTTTAAATTCGAATACTCTACTATTCATTCGAATATTTGCAGAAGTCTAGTACATACGCACCACCGCTTCCCCATCATCATCTTCATCACTTTTCTCCTCTCTTTCCCTTTTCTCCTATGCAGATTAGCAGGCCAGAGTGCATAAGCTCAGGCCAACCTCCCTGTCTTCTTATAAAATCATTCTTTCTCTCTTGATGTGTGTACCCAAAGAGAGCAGCCAGGGAAGTTGCAGAGAGAGGGACCATTGTGAAGAAGTACAGTACATGCCGATTCGGAAATGGTGGAGGTGTCAACAATCTATTCTTGCTAACTGGAAATTCACTCCAAAGTATACCTTAATGGTGTGATTCTCCTTTCAAAATCTTGCGAAAAATTTAAGGTGCTCACTTTGTCACTTGTCACAATGTACTAACCTGTCGATGGTCGGGGATCTATCGCGTAAAGGCGTGGGTGTGTGCGCACAGGCGCACATGCACGCATGCACACATGCAACAGATGCACACACCATCGTGGAGACATCTATCTCTCCCATTAGCCTTGTTTCAACTGCCTTGCAGGGCACAGTAATACCTCATTAACTCGAAGTTGCAAAAACCAAGAAAAATTTCGAGATAAGCGATTTTCGAAGAAGACACACTCAGTGTTGCCGGACTGCTGTCACTGCTTGAGCTGGGCTTTGGCGAAACAGCTTCCACAGCGAATTAAGCCCACCGGAACTGCTCTTCCACCTTTTAGCCAATAAGCACAGATTATTCAAACTGCGGGAGCGGGAGCAGCCGCGTCAGCAGCACGGGTAAGTGAGCTCTGCACATATCTACCTATAACTTTAGCAATTTTGGTCCTAGGAGGGTCAGAGGGGTGTCTATTTGTTCGTGAAGATACAAGGAGTTCAACCGCTACAAATACTGCTATTACAAACGAAAATTTTAAATTTTAGGAGCGGAAACAGTGTGCATCTGTGAAAAGAACAGTCAGACCACGGGCCCGGTGCCGCGCAGTTCCCAACCGGGGGGAAAAAAAAAAAAAAAAAAAAATGCGTGTTGATTGAACTGCATTAAGAGGCCTGAGGTGTGGCCTCACCGGTAACCACCGCCGGGAACGCACTCCCTCACCAGAGAAAGATTGGCCACCCTGGTGCAGTATCTGGCCACTACCTCCCACATGCATACGCCTAATAACTCACGGCCCTCAGTCCCCAGCAGCTGCGAAGCAACTGACTACGGCGGCGGTCAGATCTGCAACGCAGCAGAGGGTGCTAAGAATCTCCGGACTACAGGCCGCCATTGGAACCTGAACTTGGCAACGTTTAACGCTAGAACCTTATCTAGTGAGGGAAGTCTAGCTGTACTATTCGAGGAGCTAGAGGGTGTTAAATGGGATATAATAGGGCTCAGTGAGGTTAGGAGGACAGGTGAGGCCTATACGGTGCTACAAAATGGACACGTCCTTTGCTATCGGGGCTTTTGCATACAGAAGAGAACTGGGAGTGGGGTTCCTAATTCACAGAAACATAGCTGGCAACATAGAGGAATATTATAGCATTAATGAAAGGGTGGTAGGTATTGTAATTAAACTGAATAAAAGATACAAGATGAAGGTAGTACATGCTTACGCGCCTACATCCAGCCATGATGACGCTTCAGTTGAAAGCTTCTATGAAGACGTGGAATCGGCAATGAGTAAGGTAAAAACACAGTATACTATAGTGATGGGCGACTTTAATGGAAAGGTAGGGAAGAAGCAGGCTGGAGACCAGGCAGTAGGAGATTATGGCATCGGCACTAGAAACGCCAGAGGAGAGCTACTAGTAGAATTCGCAGAACGCAATAATTTGCGGATTTTGAATACCTTCTACCGAAAACGAGAAAACCGCAAGTGGACATGGAGGAGCCCTAATGGCGAAAATAAGAACGAAATAGACTTTATAATGACTGCACACCCAGGAATCGTGCAGGATGTGGAAGTGGTTGGCAAGGTACGATGCAGTGACCATAGACTGGTACGGTCTCGAATTCGCCTAGACTTGAAGAAGGAACGACAGAAACTGATACGCAAGAAGCCAATCAATGAGATAGCACTGAGAGGGAAAGTAGCAGGAATTCAGAGTGTCGCTTCAGAACAGGTACTCGGCTCTTAGTGAGGAAACCAACCTTAGCGTAGATGCAATGAATGATTATCTGACGAGTATCGTTACGGAGTGGGCAGTGGAAGTTGGAGGCAGGGTAGTTGTACAGGACACTGGCAAGTTTTCCCAGGAAACGAAGAATCTAATTAAGAAGCGTCAAATCATGAAAGTCTCAAGTACAACAGACAAAATAGAACTGGCAGAGCTTTCGAAGTTGATTAATAGGCGTAAGGTATGCAATGTAAGAAGGTATAACATGGAGAGAATTGAACACGCTCTGAAAAACGGAGGAAGCGTCAATGCAGTGAAAAGGAAACTTGGGATAGGCAAAAGTCGAATGTATGCACTAAGGGACAAAGAAGGCAAATCAATATGGATAGGATAGTTAAAATAGCGGAGGAGTTTTACAGAGATCTGTATAGTAGCCGAGACAATCACGACCTTAATACTATAAGAACTAGCAGTAACCCAGATGACACCCCACCAGTAATGATAGAAGAAGTCAGAAAAGGTTTAGAGAGCATGCAAAGAGGCAAAGCTGCTGGTGAGGATCAGGTAACATCAGATCTGCTGAAAGATGGAGGACAGATTGTGTTAGAAAAAATAGCCACCATGTTTACGAGGTGTCTTCTGACGGGAAGGGTACCAGAGTCTTGGAAGAACGCTAACATCATCTTAATACATAAGAAAGGAGATGACAAGGACTTGAAGAATTACAGGCCGATCAGCTTGCTCTCTGTAGTGTACAAGCTATTTACAAAGGTAATTGCTAACAGAGTAAAGAAAACATTAGAATTCAATCAACCAAAAGAACAAGCAGGATTTCGAACAGGCTACTGAACAATTGACCACATTCATACTGTCAATCAGGTAATAGAGAAATGCTCAGAGTATAACCAACCACTATACATAGCCTTCATAGACTATGAGAAGGCGTTTGATTCCGTAGAAATATCAGCCGTCATGCAGACACTGCAGAATCAGGGCGTAGATGAAGTATATATAAACATTCTGGAAGAAATCTACAGGGGAT